ATGTCATTGACAATTATTTTTTATTATAACTTATTAACATTTGGTGAGCTCTAAGATTTTTTTTAACAAAAAAGAGTTAAATTAAAATCAGTACTTTATATATTCGTTAATAATTGTACTTCGCATAACATATATATTAATTACTATAATTCTTTTATCAATAAATTATAACATAATTTAATCAAATGAAATTTTGAACGATACCGAATATTCTTTGGAAATATTAACGTTATTTCAAATATGCTTACCTAAAAGTATAGAGCACAACGAAAGTTTAATCCAATGAAAAATATTGATCATATTAAGTATTCCAATATCATATTTTTTAATTCTTCGAATTTTTATAATTCGTAACTGCTTTTACAAAACCTGCGCATAATATATTAGTGAGCGGAGAGTCTGGTACAAAAGGCATTTAGTGTACTGTTCTAAAAATAACACCTCCTTTGTTCTTTTTAAATATCAAATCTGCGCAGCAGCAGCTAGTTTTCAAGCGACACTTGTGCCGGCCGGTCCGGTCCGGCTCCGGCATAACAAGATCAATGCTTGAATTCATTCATTACCAAAATCGCGCGATTTTCTACATTTGAAGATTGAAAGAGATGCAGAACCAATCATCATTTAGTCATTTTACCATTCCTGTGAGTACAATCTGTAAAATTTGTGTTTGAATTCATTGATTAACTAGCAAAAAAATTTGTTATTTTCATTGTATTTGCTCACGGTTTAGAATATTATATTCATAAATTATTGTAATATCTTTACTAAACTTATGCTTGCTTTAGACTAACAATATCTACCATGTATTTCACGTATTTACATAGAAAGTATGTTTTTTCAGCATTCGAAAAATATGCCAGCTAAATACAACAACGAGAGCTCTTACGAATTCTATGAAGTCTCCGCAAAACAAAGCAGTAGTGTCGGCCAACCACCGAAACAGCACGCTGTCAATAAAAAAAAATCAGTATCACAAATTAATCGTTGCCTCATGCCTCAACAAAGAATCACTGCTTGGTCCTCATCGTCATCGTCGTCTAGTCTTACCACTGGCTCGTTATTTTCTTTGCCCGATTATTCTTCGTCTTCGAAGAGATTCAAAACCACAGGATCTTTGTTCAATAATCTCGACTTGGTGCCACATAATCCTAAAATCGATCCGCGATCTTTTGTTTGTTTCAACTGTTGGCGCCCTGATCACAAGCACAATGATTGTCCTAAAATTAAGATTCACAAGTACTGTATTAACTGTGGCCGTAGAGGAGTTATCATCAAAGAGTGTCCAAGATGTGCCAGAGCATATATAGATTACTCAAATCAACTTAACACACAATGTAATGTATACATTAGTAGTATAAAAGTTAATAACCCAATAGACGATGTTCATTTGAATATTACAAAAGAAAAATACAATGAATACTGGGATGATTATGTAGATGATCATAGTCCTGATATAAGTTTTTCAGATACTTTGCAAAAGAGAGAAACAGAATACCAGAATGATGATTGGGATAACTACCAGAGTCCACGTGCAAATCTGATGAAGAAGAGCAATAAACTATATTCATTGAATACAACAAAAGCAGAGGTAGCAAAGTACAAAGATGATAACTGGTCTGATTGTGAATTTGTTAGCTATTCGTATTCATGGGGAGAGCATAATTATAAAACCGAAAGTACAAATTACATTGATTCAAAAGTAAGAGTAAACAAAGTTGCAGCTTGGGATTGTTTTGAAAAAAATGATAACAATTGTTTTTCTCAGAACTTGGAAACAGATAATGAATTCAAGAGTTTTAATACTTCAGAGAATAATAGAGCAGAGTATCATACTGAAGAAACTCTCAAAAATTCTGAAGAAGAATCTGCTGTAAATATTAAAACTACAAATCTAATTATTAATAGTAAATCAAAATTAGTTGATGAAATTGTATTTGAAACTGACAGTAAGGAAAAATCAATTGGAATTTGTAAGACTACTAATTTTATCTCTAATAGAAAAGAAAATTTAGTAAATCAGAACAACTCAATGGATCAGAATGGTGAAATAGTAGAAAAATCTGAAAAAAGCTACGTATTAGAAATTAAAAAACAGAATTTCAATATTCTTCAAAATAAGAATATACAGGACCAGAAAGAAGAATGGAGTGATTCAGAAGCATACAAAAGTCTTCAAACTAGTTTCTGTGAAGAATCTGAAATTGATAATCATATAACAACTGTAAATAATAATAGAGTAGATGAAGAATATTGGACAGACTTTGATGATGATTATGAAAGTTTTCAAGCAAGCTTTGCTGAAGAATACAAATCACTGGATAGTACTATCGAAAATGAAGATGATTGTACAAACACTTTTATAACAGAGATTCCAAACAATGAAGGAAAATCACAATTTTACGACAGTTTCTATGCAAATAGTGATTCTGAATCAAATCAATTGTTTTCTTTTATTGAAAACGAAAAAATAGATGATCTATTGGCTAAACAAAGCTATGACAAAAATTTTTATAAAGTAAACTCACTAGAGAATTCAGTTGGCAGTCAATCAGATGAAGCATATCTCTCAAACGATGAAGATATTGATGACTATGAGTACATGATTGTTGATGAAAATGAAAGATCAGAAACCCTTCCATTTGCAGGCCAAACTGTTCAAGACTTTCTCAATCTACTAGATACTTTGAAGCACTTACCAATTCAAATACAAAATGTTGCTGTATTCCATTTCATATCCCAGCAGAAAGAGCAATCCTACAAGGACCAAATGCAGAATAGACCATGATTTACTAGAAAATGTGATCTACTTCATTGTAAGATTTAATATTATTTTTATTTTTTATTCCACATTTTATTTACTATTTTTACTCAAATATTTATTAATTTTTTTATTCAAATTTTAATTTATTTGTTACTTTAGTTGTCAGGATCTTATTGATTAAACAATAAGGAAAGATCTTGCATATACTTGTAAAACAGTTTTATGACATTTTATTATTTTGTGCAGATTTTTTATACCATTTATTGATTTTAATTGAAAGTATATACATATTAAGCTATGTAAATATGAAATGTACTAAATATGGAATGTATGGTTTTTATATCAATTTTCACAAATTTGTGAGGAAAAAAATATTTTTATTATTATGTGGGTTGCAGTGATATTAATTCATCATTATTTTTAATCATTTGTATATCTCAGTTTTTTTAAATATATACCTTTCTTTAAAATAATTATATTTAAAAGCATTGAAGAATTAGTTTTTTTATATGAATATTGCATAGTTGAAAAACAATTTAAAAACTTGATTATTTAATATGCTAAAATAAGTTTTTTTTATTTCATACTTCCATTATTTTTACTTTTTATATTGATAAGAGCTTTTAAACTTTAGTACTTAGAATGAGATGTATATAATTTGATATAACAAAATCTATGTGGGTATCAATTGTATTAATAGAAAAATTACCTGTCAATAAAGAATTTAAATGAATTATTTTACCTTACCTTATATTTAAAAATACATGGATTCCTATTTTTATATATCATACAATTTATAAAACTAGTGTTTTATAAAACACGTACGTAGTAATAAAAGTAACAAATTGAAACATCTCTTTTTGTTATTGTTTCTTTGATTTATCCAAAAAGTTAAGATTTGTAATGAACTATTTTTAATAATGGAACGATTTTTTGTGCGAAATATTTTGTTTTTAATATTAATTTTAATTATTATCTTGTACTTTAATTTTCTTAATTATAAAATTAAATTAAATTTTACAAAATCGATCATTCGCCAAGCCATTCTTCAAGAAGGCTCAGTTTGACAACAGAGTAGTCATTCGAATTTCAGACCAGCGCTATCCGCACAATCCAATTAATGGCATGCTGTTTCTCTTTCTTGCCGTTAATAAGTAGGAAAGGCAGAGGCTCTTTATAAAGTATGTTTATATTCATCCGTCTTTGTTTGTCTATAATTGTTCGATCTATCATTTAATATATATTTTGAACTTTACTTTGAATATATATTTATATACTTGACTTATATAATTATAAAGTTAATTAAGGTTGTACACTTCAGTAAACCAATTATACTACTAATTTGTTTGTATGTACTTGTAGTATTTTTATTTAATTAACTGGTTATATCTCTGCACACACAGTTGAGTTTGATCAAAGTTTGCAATGTTGGAGGTAAATGAAAATACTAAAAATAAAATTTAAAGTATCTAATATAATTTCTTGCCTCTAACATATGTTATAGTTATGTATATACTAAAGGTCGTTCGCTGTAACAATAAAATCCTCTAAAACCATCCCCAATCTAGTCCGTATTTGATATATGATGCGGCGCGTACTTATGTAGTAATTTTGACCTTTTATGATTATAATTTATAATTACATAAAATATATTAGGCGAACTACGTTTTTTAAGTGTATGATTATAATTAACATTTCAAAAAAGATTCCATTCGTCGGCAGCCCTTACACTCATTCGTATACCTTGTTACAACGAAAATGTCATATTTATCGTATATAATTTTTTATTATCCAAAATTAGAAAATTCATCGATGGTTATTTATCAAGTAGAAGTTCAATACTATCGTTTGAAAAAAGTTAATTTATTTGTAAACTTTGAGATTAAAGCCCTCGCCACATATGCGCATATGCGCGCGTACGAGGGCGTACAAACGCGTACAAATCGCTAAAAATTTTGATAGTGCCAACAACAGAAAGTTACTACTATTCCTCGCATGCCCCAAACGAACACACTTACTCCTGGAACAAACGTTCCCTTCAATAATATAGCGTTATGATACGTTTGTTCCGGGAGTAAGTGTGTTCGTTTGGGGTATGCGAGGAATAGTAGTAACTTTCTGTTGTTGGCACTATCAAAATTTTTAGCGATTTGTACGCGTTTGTACACCCTCGTACGCGCGCGTATACGCATATGTGGCGAGGGCCTAAGAACAATCGCTTTCTGTATTAACATTTACCTTTTTTTTGTTTGTCATTTTTTTCTATAATTCATTTTTTCTATATGCATGATATATTGACACGACTTATGTGTTAGAAACGTGGTACTATTATATATTATTTATACAAACATACATTCGGAATGCGGTGCTAAAGCAAATTGAAGGCCAGTCGGTTCTTTTTTTTTCTTTTCCATCCATGCACTTTTTGTGTAGCCAGTGATGGCTGCGTAGCGTTGGATATACATAGTCACAAACACACGGTGTTTATTTCCAATATTTCAAGAGACAAAAATGCATCAAAGATCTTGGATTAGTCACTGCATCATTCCAGTAAGTGTTTGAACTTTCCAATTACATATGCGTAATACTTAACAAATTTTTCATTTAATAAAAAATGAAAGAGGTTTATTCAAGTTTGTCATGATTTATATTATTGTAGAACATTTGCGATGATAAAGATATTTTTATTTTTATTTTCTGTTTTAATCTCATAGTTTTTCGATTCGCTACTGATGAATCTATACAAGTTATTTTTTATTATAATTAGGCTCTTAGTATGCCAATAAGTATGAATTTTTTGCGGAATTGGTAAAGCTTAAATTAGTAATAAAAAAATTGTAACGATAAATATTAAAAAAATTAATATTAAACAATAAAAATCATGTCATGTTATTAATTGATTGATCAAATAATTGTCTTCATTTACATGAGATTAGCATATTTATTATAAGGCCTTAACCTCGATATTTTTAACAATTGATTTATTTTTAACAGTGTCCAGGAACTAATTTCTGCCAGTTCTACAATCCAGGCGAGATTGATCATCCGCTACAGCACACAGTCAGCAAAGTTATTTATGAAGTTGATAAAAGCTTCTCATCTTATGCAAGCAGAAAAATCAGTGTGTCATCAAGTATTAATGGCAACAGCAACAACAAAAGTTCAAATAAAAGACTTGTGCTGTCAGGCAGATTTCTTCAAAATTTAGCTCCAGTACCTTTTGATTCAAAAATTGATCCTCCTCAGATCAAAGCATGCTTCAACTGTTGGCATATGAATCATAAACTTGAGAACTGTTATGTGAAAAAAAGAAACATATTTTGCAGTAACTGTGGGAGAAAGTATGTTGAAGTGGAAGATTGTCCAAGATGTGCTAAGGCCTATTGCGAGTACATTGAAGAGGAAGAGCATATTCGTGCCAAGATCGAAATCTATGGAGATGTAGAAGATGATTATTTTTATAAGAAAAGAATAAAATCAAACAAATTCAAATTAGTTAAGAATAAAAATCCAAATTCAGGTGAGAGCACTGAAAGAAAAAATTACCTCTGGAGTGATAGTTTATATAACAGTGTTTTAAGAACAAGTATTGCAATAAATACAAAGGATAGTTATTTAGTTTTTTCAAGTGCCCAAGATTCTAAGTACAAAGATGAATGGAAAAATAATTACAAAAATGTCTCAACAAATTTTCTTAAAGAATTCCAAACTATAAACTTGAATACCAAAGAGAAAGGAAAGAATGAAACCTCTGCAAGCCATCATATGTTAGACTCTAATATGAAAAAAGACTACTATAAAGAACAGATAGAATCAGAGAAATATGCTATAATAAATGACAAATGTAAAAGTCGTGAGGTTAATTGTGAAAGAGCTGAGACAAGAGAAGATAGGCTAGATTTTCAATCACTCACATCTTTGCTTATAAGTAAGCTTGAAGATGAAAATGATGACTTAGATGATATGATCTTTATTGATGAATATGAAAAGTCTATAGAATCAAGTGCTATGGAAACAAATTTCATTGAAGATGATGACCAAGCATATCAGCATTTGTTAAGTGTGATAAAGAATTTGCCAGAAGAAGCACAACAGGTTGCTGTGCGCTGCTTTTTCAATTCTCAAAAAAAGAAATCAACTGTAAAAAGTTAAGGAGTTCTGAAATGTTGATGATTTTAAGCTCTCGTAAGATCCATTAATATTATAAATATAATTTATTATTTTTTAATTTGATTGAATTATTTTAATAGGAATTCAACAAGTGATATATGTAAATTACTTATTTTTTTTACTGTGCTTATAATTGAGTTTTATATATGATTGCATTTGCTTATTTTTTTTAAGATACCCACCCCTGTTTAGCTCACTTTTTGCTTTATATTTTTGTATTATATATTGCATTAATTGAGTCCTTTACATGGTAACTTTGAGATTTTGATTCCTCCTAGTTTTAATTTATTTTGCAATTTAAATATAAATTACACATGTCTAATAATTATTCGGCACAGAGAATTTTTTATTCAATGGATTGTAACTTTTTGGGATAAAAATAAACAAGAGTTACTTTTATACAATACTTTAATGATTTTTTATATTTTTTTATAGTTTTTTATACAATATTTTAATTATGAAAAAACATATAAAATATCAAAAAATTACAATATCCAAGTATCACAATCATTATTACAAAAATAAGATTTTCGACTTTGTATTTTAATTAGTTTAACATTATGACACTTATCTAAATTCGACTAAAATGAATGTAGTTTTTTTAATGATAAATGAAATGTAAAAAAAATAATGTATTAATAATTACTTATACATTGGATAAGTTGAGGAAAAGGAACTTAAGACAAAAGTCAATCAAATATTCTTCAATCGTGGCACTAAAAATTTTTAAAATCATTAATGTCCAACTAACTTTTCACAGGCTTTTAAAGCATCTTCTGGACTTTTCCACTCAACATTTTTTCGCGTATCTGAAAAATTAATTAAAAATTGTAAATGAAAGAAAACATTGATTTATTTAATGATTTAAACAAAATAGATGTTTACTTGTTTCTGGCATCACATGCTTGAGATAAGTCGTATGCACAATAAAATAGGCAATTGCTGTTATAAGAGCTAAACTTGAGTACATTCTCAATGTTAAAACTCCGCCGTATTCTTTGTACAGTATACCACCAATCAGACTACCGACTGCGAAACCTGTCAAATAATTATATATAATACTTGTGACTGCATTTAAATATTTTTTTAACAATTTTTTAATAAAACAAACTTTAAGCCCAACTCAGCTGAATATTAACTGAATTTTTTAATTTTTATCAGAACGTTCATTGTTTTCTTTTTTACTTAAATCTTGCGATTAAAATTGAAATTAAAAATGAAAACTGGGTTCACTATCGCAAATAAACGACGTTATGAATAAAAAGATCTCAAATTGGTAATCAAATGCAGTCTCCATAATTTACACTCACCCAATCCATCGTCCATGCCGGCAACAATCCCTTGTACAGTGGCAGACGTCCCGGATGGTGCAACAACGCTCGCGTAGGCTACGATGGTCGTGTAGCAAAGCGCGTAAGTAGGACCTTGCATGAAAAACTCAATGAGTACCACCCAGTAAGGTGTTGGTGCCAGTGAGATTAGGCCAAGTCGTAGAGCGTAACACACGAAGCAAAATACAAACGTGTAGCCATAGCCGATTTTCTTCAAAATTTTACCTGCAAAAATTCAACAGTAATTTTTATATTTTTATGTTATAGCTGTTGATTCTCAAATTTACCTGATAGAGTGAAAAAAATCACTTCTCCACCTAAAGTTTCAGCGAATACTGTCAATCCTTCAATAAGTTTTATATCGTGCATGTGACCAGTTGCTAAAGCGAGGTCTTCTAAATACCTGTTTAAGCAAGGGATAGATATTAATTTCGATTTCGTTTACAAGTAGAATAATGCACTAAAAGTTCTCATTACTGATTACCAAAATAAAAAGTAGATAATGAAACTATCTAGAATACCAGCAAGCGTTGCAAAACAGAGAAAAATGGCAATAGGTTTGATTTTGATTAATTTGTAAACATCTTTGAGAATGTTATCAGTCCCAGATATTATTGGTAACTGAAAATATAAATCAAATCAAATGTAAATCAATAAATTAGCGTGAAAATATTTCATTTGGATTATTAAATAGGAAACGTTTTTTTCTGATAAAAATAAAGTTTTACGATAAAATATGATTACCGATGAGAACGAACGATCAAAATCACTTAGCTTCGACGATTATGCTATTTAAGAATTCCTCGAGTTGTTTAACTGCGTTAAGCATCTGCCGATTGATGTTCAAAACATTGCTGTTTTTCATTTCGTATTCGAGCACAAACATTGTCACGAAAAAATATGTAATTATCTCAGTGCTGAACTTTTTAATCTGGTAGTAATTTCATATTGAAACTTTTTATATATTATTTTATTAGTTAACAATCGGTATGATTTTATTTAGCACCATGGTAAACATTTATTTAGTTAATATTGTGGTAACTAAAAGAATTTATGTTTCCATTGTCCTTCTAAGAATGAAAAGAAGTAAGAGAAGTTTTGAATCAGATTAGTAACATAAAAAAAGAACTTTTACTACAATAATGTAATAAATGTAATAATAAAATGTATGTAAACCAATATTCATCAGCAGTATTTTCCAAAATAAATTTTTTGATTGTAAATTATGTTTGTAAATAATTTTATTGTAATTTATAATATTTTTCAAAAGAAATTGCCATTTAATTATTATTATTTCAAGGTTATTTTCGATGATCAAATCAAAATTTATTTGAATAGTCAGTTTTAGTTGTGCACATATTGAAAATATGTTCCAAGCTATGTATGTTTATAAATAGTGTATTGGTTTGAAAAATTAGTAAAACAAGTTTTATCGATGATGGATTAAAAAATATTGTATTATTTTAAACAATAAAATTATGATTTAGAACAGAAAAATCAGTTGCAGTTATTATTGTACAAAAAATTAAAATCATAGTATGGCATATTATTTTATTATTTATTTACGCAAATACATTGAAAAAAGTATTTTATTTTATTTCTACCCACTAAGAAGGAATTCATTTTACCACGCACACATTCCAATTATTCAAGAACTATTAAATTTCGATTGTTGTTTTTCTTCCTCTATAAAAGAGCAGCATCTGCCGGTCACCGGTGATACTGTTATTTTCTAATAATACTTCATGTTCCATGCTTGACTCGGCACCGGTCCTATTTATATTTTAGTCTTTGCTATTTAAAAGTCTATTTTGTTTATATTTTACTTTTGATGACAATTTTTCATTTGGCAGCTCATACATTAAATTAGAGTGGATATTTTTTACGAGTTGTGTAATCTGTTTTGTGAAAGAATGCCAGAAAAATCGTGGATTAGTCATTACATCGTGTCGGTAAGTTAACAGCTGATTATAATCAAGCATTTTTATTATCTGTTTTACAAGTTTTTACTGTCTCCTACAAACGAAAATTGTATGCTGTGCCTGAGTCGATATTCTATTTCAGAAATAAATTTATTTGGTATATATTGTAGTTGGGTTAAGTAAACTCAAATCTGGATAACAGATAAGCAATATACTATAGATAGTATTATGTGGTTATATTATTTCGCCATAGCTAACTGACTGCATTACGTCTTTTCCTTTGCAGTGTGTCGGCAACTCGAGTTGCAATCACTGCAAACTCGACGAGCCTCATCCTCAGCAGGATATGATTAACAAATTCGTTCATAAAACCGATTCGCCATCAAATCCCATATCATTAAAAAGTCCAATCGCACCACAGAATATCGATCACGAAAAATATCTAAGAAAGAAAAAACTTCTTGGTACTACTTTTGGAGATCTCGATATTGTGCCGTCCGATCCCAATGTTGATCCTGAACCTTATGCATGTTTCGTCTGTTGGAGTTTGTTACACACGACTAAGCATTGCCAAGAGTCTGTGAAGCATCTTTACTGCTGGAATTGCGGCAGGAGGGATGTTCAGGTGGATAAATGTCCGAGATGTGCGAGAGCTTATCGCAAGCATCTTAAGAAAATATGCAATGAGGGGGAAAAATTACCGTTTCGTATAGCTTTACTTAAGTCAATAAAAAACTTAAAACAGGAGAATTTACAAAATGGTGATACAGATTTAATTTTTAGGGAGGAAGAGAGTGCTGATAGCTGTTTTATACAAGAGCATAAACAGTTTTCTGCGCTGAAAAAGGAAACGAAATGGGAATATAAACTCAAAGAAAACGGATGGAACGAGGGTGAGAATACTCGCGAAAATCTGAGTCTGGATTCACACGAAAAATGTAAAATTAAGGAACAAGTCAAGTGCGAAGACCAACTGCGGAGCAAAGCCAATGAGGCACTTCAAAACCCTTTTTCTACGATTGCTTTAGGAGCCGGTGATGCAGGACAGCAGAGCTTAAGTCTACCATCATCTCCTTTTGTGAATCAATGCATTGACGACTATTCAGACTCTGACAATGATTATCGCAATGTACAGTCGAACGAGTTGTTTACTCATATGAGGAACCAGAAAATTCAAGATCAACTTAAAATTGATCTTATCAAAACTGAGTCGGCATTGAATTATTTTAGCGAATCGGAATATTATTTTTTCGACGAACAGGAAGAGAATTATGATGATTATATTGTTGATGAGGATGAAAAATCGGAATCACTCTATTCGGAAAATTACGTGATTCGATTCTTTGTGGATTTGTTGGGCGCTTTAAAGCATATGTCATTTGACATTCAAAATTCTGCAGTTCTCAACTTTATATCTACGTATAAAAAGCAAATTTACAGGCAACAAGAGACAGAACAGAAAGATAGCTCATTTATCTAATTTCATAATAAGTTTTTTGAGATTATTATTTTGACCGACGATTATAGTATTAATTTGAAAAAATTTCTTTTTAAGAAGTTTTTTGGTTCCAGATTGGTTTTTAATTAATGGTAGATTTAGAATACTAAAAATATTGAAAAATCCTCATGTTTAAAGGTTCTTATAAATATCGTCTTATTAAAATTTAATTAACGGAGTTGAATATTCCGAAAAATTGAAATTGATATTGACTAAATTTTTTCTATTTTGAAATACTTAATAAAAACTTTAATTTTCTTTATCTCAAAATTAAATACTATTATTACAAATATCGAGTTTGCCACAATTTTCTGTAGATTAGAGTTAACGAAGATCATTTTAGAGCTCATAGGAGAAAAATAATACTCCGATTCTTGGGATCTACGTTTTTTTAATAAGTTTTTTTTTCATGTTTGAAAAGTTGCTTTTTAAAAATTTTATTAAAAACTATAGCGCTTATTCCAAAATACAAATTCTAGCGAAGGAAATTAGTTCTCTCAAAATGAATTTCGTTTATTTTAAGTCTGAGAAAATACATCAAACTATAATAAATTAAAAAAGATGTTTAATCAGCGACTTTGCTGTGCATAAATTTGTGATTTTATAATGTATAACAAAAAAATTAAACGTTTTATTGAGTAATTGATGAGAAAAATGTTTCAAGTCGATATCTTTATTAGAACGATTTTCACATGAGATTAAATAAAATTTTCAATTTTCCTTGTTTAATATCTAGCCCCTTAATATTAACACTTGTTTTATTGAATGCCGTACTTGAATATTCTCTACAAAAGTATTTATAAATCTTTTACTTTATAATGTAGATGTAGAAATAAATTTGTGTGATTTTTATTTAATAATAAAAAGTCGTATATTAAGTTAAAAATAATTTGTGGTGCAAGTCTACAATGACTACTCTTTTTAAAGTAAAATTAATAAAAAATTTAGTAAGATTGTGATTTGAAAAATAACATTGTGTAAAAAAATACTCTGGGCTTATATAATAAAATTACGATAATATTATTATTTGAAAATCGCTGTCACCCTCGCTGTTATAAATATTACTGTAATTTTAATAAAAATAAATTATCAAAATTTACGTATAATGCGTTATTTTTTTTATAAATAATAAATAATCATTGAAAAAACAGCTTGGATTTAATTATCATTTAGTTTCAATAGTTGTCAGTAAAAAATGAAAACAATTTATCTTTCTTAAAAAAAAAGATAAGAATATTGGAAATTAAATCTGTTTGAAATCTTACCTGTAATTTTGAGCAACAGCCAAGATCAATAAGCGTAAAGGCAGAAATGAATACAAATGCCGGAGTGTATGATTTTATAGTATCACTAGAGGACCACCAATCCACTGCATATCCACTCATGAGTGCTGCTATGCCAAAACCAATCGAGCCCCATACTCTTTGTCTCCCGTAACTCATTTGTCCACCTTCACCTGAATATAAAATCAAAGTATGATCATAATATATTTAGAGAGCAACATGTTGTATTAGAATAATGTAAATTAATGAATGGCTCGCAATCAATGATATCAATATTTTAATTTATAGTATTTAATCAAATGACTTACCCAGTACGTCAAAACAGATTGCATCGCTAATACAGTTGCTGACGTTGAATCCAATGTTTCCCAGTGACATCAGCAGCACGAATCCCCAAAAAGTAACGGATCCATAAACGCAGGCACTCTCGTGCTCCGAATCATTGCACGTTACATCGCAGACGTCATTTTCCCGGCATTGCCTCGAACTCAGGTTACCGATGAAGCAGGAAGTATCCGGCTCGAACTTTGTCTTGAGATCAGCGTGAAAGTAGACGTCGGCGGTAAAGTTGCCCGAATCACGACACTGCCACTTACATGTGCTCGACCTGCCGTCATCCACGCAGGAATCTGTTACATTGATTGTCTGGATATAGTAAAGAGTTCTTAAAAATCAGTACGTCAAGGTCGATCTATTTGCAATTTGCAGATATTTTTAGAGCATCGACTGTGTATCGTGATGAATTTTAACTCCAAGCCGAGCAATTGCTGATATAAAGATATATATACATATTTATTTATCCTGCAATCTTCAATATTGTAGCGAACAATATTATGTCCATAAATAAGAATGCGATTACTTATAATTATATATAACATAATTAATACTTGTAATTTGCTGAGTTATTGCCAAGGAAAACTTATAAATCAATTTTTAAAAAAGGCGTCATTTCGCTATAACGATTAAATCAAGTTGAACACATTGCCGATTCTCGCCCGATCATCGAAATTAAGCAGATTTGAGCCTGGTTAGTGCACTTAGATGAGCGATCGCCTAGGAATGTCGATACAAACTTTTTTTATCATTTATCTTTGTTAAGGTCGTTATAAATTTACAAAATGAAATGGATACAATTTATAAAAACTCGCAGTTTATTATTTAAGCAGAAAGACTTTCATTTAATAAGCATTCAATGACTATTGCTACTAAACTGATTTCAAAATTAATGCATAAATAAATTACATGGAGAATGATGTTTGTAAGTAGGAAACTCTGTACAGCATGCAAATAAGATGATAAACATCAATGAGTAAGAGGGCACGTGACAAACAAAAAATGAATGAAAGAAGTTTTAGTACATTAAAATCATATTTCCAGTGCGTTGCTAGTTCCAATTCTTTATTTTTTTTTATTTTTCGTATCGTCTTATCGTCATGTCTTAAAATGTCACGCTAAATTGCACTCAAAAAAATCTCATACTATATTACTTCGCGTAACTTAATTCGGTAATTACTTTATTTAAATACAAAATCTTCAATATTCTTTTACACAAAAACTAAATTTTAGATAACGGGTTGATAAAGTTGAAACTTGCTTTCTTAATTCTCTTAATACTTTCAATAATTAATGATTCAATATCGTAGATAACTAATTCTTCGGTTTCATTTATGATTTTCTTTCATACTTTTCGAGAGCAAGTAAATGAAAGAGAATATTTGAAATACGTCTCGTTTTTAGATATTCGTATCATTGAAATGAGTAATATATTTATCAGATTGGCTAACTACTTTAAATCAGCAATGTTATTTCCTATTTTAAATCAACTTTTTACTTAAAAAATTGTTTTTATAAACAAATGTTGAACTTCTCTCTATGTATAAAAGCCGTGACATGTATAGGTGATCGTTGCAGTTTTTCATACCATTACAAAGTAAATAGGTAACAAGTATATATCGATAAAGAAGCGTATTATATTCAAATGCTAATAATTATACTCAAATTCAATGTATCGTATACAGAAATGTTATGCCCATTTCGTTAATCTTGATGATAACTTGATCGATTATGCATTTTTCTCAGTTTGACATCTATAATTTCTTATCCAACGCTCCGTACGTGAGGACTCGATTTAAGCACTTGGGCAAGCCGAATGTGCTTCAAACCTCGTCTCGCATACGTCGAATCAACGAATAAAGGTACATGCAAGGACCCGTGGTAGGATAAGATATGGGACTTATAACATTCTGCCTGAAAATTACTGACATATATTTTCAGTTATTGAGTGAAAAATCGATATACTTTGCATTGGTCAAAGTTTATTAACTGCATTAATGATTATTTTTTTATTTTGATATTATTAATTATCGATTCAAATTTTCTGAAATAAATTGTATTTCAAAAAGAAGAATACGATGAAAAAGAGTACGACGCTGGATGTAAAAAAGTGTTGAAAAGTAATGATCACTATGGAAATCGTATCAGATCAATTAAAGATTTTGAAAAACACTGCTATTGCGATTATTTTAATTATTCCCGAATGTAAATGAAGTCATAATAAATCTTTATTCTATCTATAATGTAATATTGTCGTCCCAAGAGTTATTCTGATCAGCAGTAAAGTTGATTTTTATAAAATGTTATTTTTATGGTTTGATAATTTTAAACCATCCCTTTTTCCGCTGAAAAATTAGCACTAAATGAAAGCATGAATAGTAAAGCTGTTGTAGAATCACATGCTACAACCTCTGCGCAAGGTTATACTATATTAATTATAGTAATAGCTTTTATGATTGGCACTTGCAGTATGCAGTCTTGTCTAGTTTACGCGACTGAGAGACGATTAAAAAGTTACCAACAAATTTCTAGCAAACATTGATATGAATTCAAATTGAATATCGAGATAAAACATAATAAATTTATTAAAAAAATTATCTTTAGTAAACAAATTAACACTTTGAGGAATATTATTAAAAGATCGCTCGATCGATTAAAAGATCATTCAAGCTACATAGATGGTGATATGTTTCTTCTAGTGCATTTGCAATTTGAATTAAAAAAAAAAAGAATCAAGAAAGTCAGCAGAATGACAATTGTAAAACGGGCGTATTAAAATTCAACCGCAATGACCCTAATCCAATTGAATTTGGCATTTTACTCGTCACTTCGTCAGTCTCGCTACGGACGTTCAACATGCAGAACCCAGTAGTTGAAATACAAGACGGCCAAATACGCGGAGTGATAAAAAAGACCGTGGATGGTCGCGAGTACTGTGCTTTTCTGGGAGTACCCTACGCGAAACCACCGATCGGAGATTTAAGATTCAAAGTGAGCAGAACCAAACAGATTATCTTTTATACATTGTTTATGAAATTATTGGACAACGGCTTTTGATGGTTTTTATGTAGGATCCAGAGCCAATAGACAGCTGGACAGGAATAAAAGATACAACGAAATACGGTAACCCATGTGCTCAAATTGATGCTTCCGGGAATTTTATTGGGAGTGAGGACTGTTTGTTCATAAATGTATGCGTTAGATCGCTTGAAAATGTTGATAAACCGAAACCAGTTATGGTTTGGTTCCACGTCGGCGGCTTTGTTTATGGCAGTGGGTGCGATCTAATGTATGGGCCTGACTATTTTTTAAGGAAAGATATTGTTTTTGTTTCGTTTAATTATAGACTTGGACTTCTCGGTAAGACGTACTTTCTCTTAATCGATCGTATATATTTGTCACATTGCACAGTATGATTGCTTTTATTGTGTATTTTTACGAGCAGGATTTTTAAATTTGGAGCATGAAGTAGCACCAGGGAATCAGGGGATTAAAGATCAACTTTTAGCTCTGAAATGGGTGCAGACAAATATAAGAAAATTTGGAGGGGATCCAAATAATGTCACGGCTTTCGGAGGCAGTGCAGGCGCAGTTTCTATCCAAATATTGGCATTGTCGCCAATGGGAAAGGGTAAAGCTCAAGAGTAAAATTATCAAATGCCACATTTGATTTTGTGCATGTTCGTTGTAAATTGCAGGCTTATTCCACAGAGCAATCAATCAAAGTGGCAGCATTCACAACACTTGGGTAACTATTAAAGAACCGAAAAAATATGCCTTTCGCTTGTGCACCCATTTCGGAAAGTACCAGCAGGACCCTGAAAAAATGGTTACTTTCTTAAGAACTCTGAATATTCGGCCGATGTTACAAACCGCTGAAAAAGTTAAGAAGACTATTGTAAGTGGCATCTGCAGATTCATAATTAATCATACAACAAAGCAAATAACAGATGCATAATGCAAAGAATTGTGTAAACGCTGTTTCGTTAGGAATGCCTCTACGCTGTTTACCCTTTCACATTAGGTGTAGATGATAAATCGCCTAATCCCGTATTACCAATACGACCAGAAGAGCTTCTGTTACAAGGCATACAGATGCCGTTTCTGTTTGGGCACAATAACAACGAGGGATTATATTTTTTATTGAGTTCAGTATAACCTGTTATCGGTACACGCGAAAAGGGCATCAATACTAAATGTAAAAATAGATTTACATGACTTTACAGGCTTGAAAAGCAGTGACTTCGATCGGTATAACAAAAATATCGATAAGGCGATCAACGAAAAAGCATCGGATGTGCTAAAAGATTACAATTTGACTAAACAAGATTTGAAAAATATGTATTTCAAGGATGAAAAGATTTCCATAAGCAACTGTGATAAATTCGCAAATATGCTCGGTGATTTGAATATAATCCAAGGTATACATAAGTTTGCGAGAATCCAAGTGGAGAAAAATCCTTATCCGAATTATTTTTACATATTCTCGTATGACGACGAAATATCGTCGACGAAATTAGTATTGCCGAAGTTGTTGAAAGGTATATCTGATTTGCAAGATATAGTAATTACAATTTCCATTGAGCTACGTTACTACGATTTATTAAACTTATTGATGTGTTATAGGATGTTGTCATGCCGACGAAATAGAATATTTATTCCATGGTACCTTTCGTACAAAAAGGGGCTGTAACCCACATCAAAAAGGTACTGTCTCTTATAAAGTGATGGAAAGAATGATCGAATTATGGACAAACTTTGCTATTTATGGGTTAGTGACCACTATCAGTGTTATTTGAAATTTGAAAACTTCGAAAGTCCCCATAACATTTTTTTTTACTTCAGTACGCCTACACCGTCGACTTCTGATATTTTACCTATAATGTGGGAACCCTTGGATGATGCTAATAATTTGCAGTACATGGATATAGGAAGAGAATTGCAGATGAAAAGAATGCTGAGTGTTGATCAACGCTTTTTACTTGCAAAATCTAAAGAGTTATAACAAAGACAACGAGTTCGAGATCCGTTTTAAAGATTTTTAACAAACTGAATTTTTTTTAACTTCACCATTTTAACACTCAAAACATTATTGTTTTAATTTATGAAATAGTAATAGTTTTTATTTATATTGTAATAAACTCACGATTGTCGACATTATTAGTGAGCGTATAAAAGGTTTTATTTGTAATGAATTTTAAACATTATATTCAATTGAAACTTTAGAAAGTATATCAAAAGTATTTTTTTCCTTCCATGAAAAGGTTTTAACTGAAATTGATGACGTTTTAGAAACGTTAATAGTGCTGTAATCGATACAAGATATTGTGGTTAATCTATATGAATATGATGTATCGCAATGAAATTAAATAAAAGATTTTATTTCATGTTGTTAAAAATGCTAAAGTATTTTTTATTGTGTACGACAAAATTTTTCTACTTTCAATATTACTTTACATTGTTTACTATTATTAGTTTGCGTTATATTTTGACAATTTTATATAAAGTAATTACTTTGGTTGTGAACGATTATCTATTTAAGTACTTTGAAAATGTCTTTTAAACGTCCAATTAATTATAAGCATTTTTCAGTATTGAAGAATAATTATTATTTTATGACATTGAAGTTGATTTTCAATAATTAATTTGACATTGAGTTAAAAGTCAATTTACAATATGTCTTATTTTCATATTCATACTACGTACTCATTTATCACAGCATAAAAATTGAACCATTCTATCAAAATACTTCAATTCATATGTTAATAATATACGATTGAACCGTCTTCATTGATCTGTAGTTAAAAGTTCGCATTAAAACAATGCTGCATTAAAAGGAAAGTTACTTAAGTCCACTTTCCATTCAAATTCCAAGTCTACTGAATTAATAAGACTACTAGAAAAAAATCACCGAGACAGTCTTTTTAAAGTACAATCATGGTGATTGTCAATTCATACGATTCTTCGATTTTTTTTATCAGTCTTCGTTCAAACGTTCAATATGGAAGACCTAATAGTTGAAACACGTAATGGCCAAGTACGTGGTACAATAAAAAAGAGCGTTGAAGGGTACAGTTATTGCGCTTTCTTAGGAATACCTTATGCCAAGCCGCCGATTGATAATTTAAGATTTAAAGTAAGTAATGGTTAGTTGCATTAATTTCATCGATATTTTATCTAATGGAAATGTTTTGAGTTGAAATGATAACAGTATACATTTTCATTTTTGTTGGTTCGGTACAATGTTTTGTAATTATCAAGTAGATTAGTGACAAAAAGAAAAACAAACATTAAGAATCGCGCTATTACAGAATTGTGAAACAAGGGACCATTAAAATAGGAAATTTGATTTTCAATTTCAAAAAGTGTAACTCACGTCAGCAACAGTATCTTAGCCTATCGAATCAAATAAGAAGATGTGCAAAGTTGAACAGTTTAGCAAAGTACTATTACTTTTAGGATCCAGAAGCAATAGATAATTGGACGGGTATAAAAAGCGCAACGGAATATGGGAATCCATGTGCTCAAGACGATTCCGTCGGTGTGTTTTACGGAAGCGAAGACTGCCTTTATTTGAATGTTTGCGTGAGATCGTTAAAAAATGTCAATGAACTGAAACCAGTTATGGTTTGGATCCACGGAGGTGGTTATTTGCAAGGATGTGGAGATGATAAATACTATGGACCTGATTATTTACTCAGGAAGGATATTGTATTCGTATCTTTCAATTATAGACTGGGAATATTCGGTAAGTAAAATTGTAATTTTGTAAGTTTTGCTTCTGTGTACTATATAATAAAATATTTAAATTCATTATTTTATAATAATTTGTTCATGAGCGCAAAATAGTACATTACGATACAAGTGCGGGAAAGTAGATTTTTGTCTAGATATCTTGAAAGATACACGAGACGAGAAACTCTTTCCCGAGCACGTGTCGTTCCGTATTTTTTTATACGATGTGTGGAAAGTGCGATTTTCAACGCACGTTTTCTGCCGAGCGCGCGGGAACGACGCACTTTGCGCACGGAGTGTCAAAAATATATTTACTGAAACTTTTATTCAACTGAAATATTTTCAACTTCTATGAAATCAGGATTTCTGAATTTAGACCACGAAATAGTAGCAGGCAACATGGGAATCAAAGATCAAATTATGGCACTGAGGTGGGTTCAAGCAAACATAAGTAAATTCGGAGGCGATCCAAACAATGTTACAGTTTTTGGAGAGAGTTCAGGTGCGACCTCCGTACAAATATTATGTCTATGCCCGCAGTCGAAAGGTAATACGGAATATTTGAGATACATATGAGTTATGCGCTCGATGGATATATTTTTCAAATCCGATTTCAGATTTATTTCATAAAGCAATACTACAAAGTGGTAGTATTCAATATACTTGGGTGATAACGAAAACCCCTAAAAAGTATGGCTACCAGTTGTGTACTATGCTCGGCAAATATAACGATGACCCTAATGAAATTTACAAATTCTTAATGACACTTGATACTCGAAAATTAGTACAACTTCAGGACAAACTTCGACGTACTACGGTAACGTAGAAAATTGTATAACATAGAAAATTGTAGCAATATGGTTGTGAAAATGACAATAACGAAAATTGTTCTTTCAGGACAAACTCCATTGCCTCTTTGTCTTCACTTTGGGAATAGACAATAAGTCTCCTAATCCCGTGATGCCTGTACATCCTGACGAACTCATGACGCGAAGTATCGAAAAACCATGCCTATTTGGGCATAATAATGCCGAAGGGCTTATTTATCTAATGGGTAAGGGTAATAACGAATCAGTTAAATACTAAATATTCAATAGATCTGCAAAACTTCGTAGGATTGGAAAAATCAGACTTTGAAAGAATCAACAGAAGTTTCAATTCAATAATCAACGAAAGAGCGACGGAATTGTTGAAAGGATACGGACTGACCAAACAAGATTTGAGATATATGTACTTCAAGGACGAAAGAATTACGTTGAGCAATTGCGTCAAATTTGCATTCTTGCTCGCGGATTTGTACATACTTGATGGCATTCATAAATTCGCAAACACGCAAGTCGAAAAGAATCCTCATCCACAATACTTTTATCAATTTTCTTATGACGACGAGCCATCGTGCATGAAGACGTTGCTGCCGGTTCAAAGCAAAGGCAAATAATTAGTGTCACTTTTGACAATGGAATCATCATGATGTGTTGTTCATTTTCTAGGTGCTTGCCATTGCGATGAATTAGATTACGTGTTCTACAGCAACTTTCGTACCCAAAAAGGTTTCAAACCTTTTCAAAAGGGCACTCCGTCTTACAAAGTTATGGAGCGGATGACAGAACTGTGGACAAATTTCGCAGCGCACGGGTAATAAATAGCACATTGAAGTCGTCGACTCAGAGGAATGTCAAATATCGATATTTTTTTTAAAGAACACCTACGCCGAGTACTTCTGACATTGTACCCGAGGAATGGAAACCACTTGATAATGGTACAAATCTCCGTTACATGGATATAGGAAGGGACTTGACCATGAAAACAATGACGAATATTCGAGAACAATATATAGCATACAAAGCTGCGAAAGATCATTCATCGAAGCAGTAAAAAAGAGATAGCAAGAAACTATTTACGGCCTATCAGAATTTTCATAATAAAACTTTTTTGAAATGAAGGTAGCTACTAACTTGAGCAGTCTTTACTTAAAATTCATCTCGCTTATTCGTATAGAAGTACATTTAAAATTCAAACGTGATCGCGCGAGAGACAACAATTAACATACAAACGCGTGCATTCGCGTATCAGTTATGGAAGCTCGCTATCGTGAATATTTTTTATGTACAAATGTCTGTAGACTGAGATAAAACAGGCAATTAAGTTAATTGTATTGAAATTGTCGTCACGTGGTGAGGTCGCAAGTAGATCACGGAATACATTGCGAGCGTAGGGAGCTGATGTGTTTGTCAAATGTAGCTTCCAAGTCTAGAACCACGCATGAACAGAATATTATTTTTTCAGTGCAGTGCAAATATTCTAAAAAAAGAGACCAACATACTTCTTTGTTTGAAAAACAGTTGTTCATTCGCGCTTGCAATGTATTCCGCGACCTACTTGTACGTGACTGCTGATCCCAATAATACAGTGCTATTTTTCGAGTTATTTTTTCACGTCGAAACGTTACTCATCAAAGACTTTAATCGTTCGAAAGAATAAGCCCCGCCTTGCACGCGTGTACGTCCAGTAGTCACTCGTTAAGCGCATGAGCTACATCAGAACTCAAATTCAAATAATAATATGTTTATAAGGAATATACAAAAGTTATAAATAATTATAAATTTTAAGGAGATACTCCATATCTCACCAATGAGAAACGACGCGGCTTTATCGGATAAAATTAATTAATTAATTAAAGTGATATTTCGAATGTATTTATGAACGAAGAAATAATATGAAGTGCGTCCCTAGTATACTGTGTAAAATCCAGAGATTCAACGAATAGTGATAATAAAAAACTTTGATAGATCAAACATTTATCAACTGTGTGCAGGTTGCGCAACTAAGCAGATATATATAAATACATAAGTCGTTGAATTGCAACGATCCAAAATTGCTTTATATCATTTTCATTGGACGAATTCATAGTTGCACAGTATTATATTACTCTCATTTATGGACTGATTGTTAGATGAAATAAACATAGTATTTTAGTGATCGATGGAATGTCATAAATAATTAAATAATTTTTATACAGAAATCGTCTCCTCGCGACTGATTCGTGCTAGCGAATGTCGTTGAGAAAGAAAAATGCACCTCTAAAATGCCGGTCGCTCATTAAAAATGCAAAACATGCAAGCTTACCGCGGTGGAGCACTCGACAAGTTTCGCGCACGAGACGTTGAAGAATTTGCCATTGTCAGGTAGAACCGGTCCCGGGAGCGCCGGCAGAAAGTACATCAGTATGTAGCAGCCGCTCGTCGCCGCCAGCAGCGCGATGAAGATGCCGCGACGCCACTCGCGAAATTTGTCGACGACGAAGCCGAACGCCGGTTTCGCCACGAGGAACAGCAGCGGCAGTACCGCCGTTATGCTGCCCATCACCAAGGCTGACACTCCCAATTGCTTGCCGTACACCGGCAGGAATGGCAGGATTGGCCCCATAGCTGCAAAAGTTTGGATTACGTGCGCGCATTCATGTAAATGGCTATTTTTATTTGTCCCATTGATTCTGTGCTTTACACCAATTTTTATCTACGATTTGATTGATATCTGTGATTCACAATTTATCAACGCTTATACCTTCTTATTCTTTCGACAATCACATCATCGCCAATAGTTCAAATGTAATCGGTACTTATTTTAACATTAAAATATAGCACAACTCTGGTGTTTCATGCCAGTGATCATCGAATTAAAATTTACATTAACAACACTCTTTAAAATCAAGTTATCAAATGACACAAAGGTGTAAACTTTAACATCTATAGTTATACATTACAAATCGGTCATGTAAGTTTCAGACAAGTGAGTTATCTGTCGTATACGTGATCATTACAAGTGCTTGAACTAACTTTTATTTGAAAATTTCAAGTGGTAATCCAGTGTTTTTCAAAGTACAATTGATAAAATGTTAACTCACCTGCCATAAAGAAGAAGAAATGAGCCTTAACAGGTAGTTGCCCAGGATTAATTTTGACTTTCCCCATTGTCGTTAATAACTCTTTGTCAACTAACTGGACCGTATATCACCTGTTTCGTATGCTTGTGCATATCAACCTCTCGTTCTCATTGCCATACCTAGAATGAAAAGGGATTCTGTTTGGAGTGCGCGAGATTCATTATTTGACTGACATATCTTTACGATTGATAATTGCTAAAAGATTTAGATATAATGACTTCACGTTAATCACGAACAGTACGGCGCTTGTCAAGGTTAGATAAACTTTACATGGATGTGTCGAGAAATATTAGAAGACTATTTATTTTATGAATATTATATTCGCTTCTTTTATATTATACATTTTGAAGTTATATATACTATTAACGTATATATAATGAATTATGACATTTACGGCGACATTTTCATAATTTAACTATAACGTATACCAAATAAGTAAAGACAATGTCTTTAAATAACAAATTTCAAGTTTGTAATTTAATTGAATTTATCGAATATAGTTAATTATAATGAGTAATAATGCACTTGAATTCATAGGTAAATATGTTTAAAAACAAATTATATAGTTTTAAAAAAAACTATATAAAAAATTTATTTTTTACACGAAGCTTGTTCTTTCCTCATTGTTAATGAACGGCACGTCCGACTGTAACTAATGTACGTATAAACTTGTCAGCCTACACAAATTTTTGGTCAGGCACTCAACTGCACTTGCTTTGTCACCACAGCAGTCTCGTTGGAATTGTCATTATCTGTATCCTCACAGCCGCGCTTGTGAGGATATTGCACGCTGAAAATATATGCATACAACATATCAACGAAGATTAAAACGAGTATTTAATATTCATCAAGCCAGTTTAGACGCAGAGTCGTTACTTTCCCATTGATTTCGTGGTCAATTTTATTGTTCTGATATCATTTCGATTCAATCGCAATTTCAAGTAAAATATTTCCGTCTTTTGTAAATAAAAGAATTTGCACTTCTAAAACAAGAAAAAAAAATAGTAGGAATAAATCAAGACGTTCACGATACGGTTATCATTCATAGATTATAAAGTCGCGGTTTATTTCATTTTAAATAATCTTTCGAATAATCTTTGATAAATAAAATACTTTCGACACGTAAACGTTAGATTAACATTCGTGATATCAATTATGTAGTGCTTTACTTAGTTGATTGTATAAATTTGTATCTTTTCAATACCGATTAAAAGAGTAGAGACAATTTTTACGATTCCAAGCTATAATATGTTAAACACATAATGATACCTGGTCTGGATTGAAAAGTGAGAATATAAAATGGTGAAAAAAGTACCACGTACGGGCGTGTGATCGGAATAAGTACAAGTCAATACTTACGACATTTCAAGAGCAAATAACGAACATTCATTCGTATAAAAACTGCACTCAAGCAATTGGCAACAAAATTTATCGTTCTAAAAATACAATTTCCTCGTCCCACGAGTATGCAAAGCAACTTCTATATACGAGCTAATCAAACGATCCAGAGTTCTACAATGCACAAGTGTGGAAAATCAAAGCTATTTACATCTCGCGAAAGTAACGAGACAAAATAACTCAACGGTCATCGAGGTTCATCTAGCTAACAAACCTAAATTCTCAGGCGTGCGTGCACACCCACCAACTGCATCTGGTGCTTCCCGAGACACAACTACACGCGCGCGTACACATATGTATCAGCGAAGAGCAACCAAGTAACCAAGCAACGGAGCTAGTCGCGACGTACGGAAACGGCCGACAAGAGTCGAAGCTTCGGGCCGATGTTCAAAGTGCCCCGCGGTTCGTATATTTTTAGACGAGTGTATGCGAACGCACGTGCGAAGTATTATGCAGGGACACGGGGGCTTTGTCCAATCTTCTCTGCTAGAAGCGAAGCTTTTCTATTGTGACGTTCAGACGGGAAGTCGGGAATGTCGGAAGAAAGTTAGTATATCACGAGGACCATCGCGAGAAATGCACTACCTCGCGTTTCTACACGTAATAAATACATGCACGCGAATTTGCAGGACCGTGCAGCCGCTGGCCAAACGCAATCATTGCGCAGAGCGTGATAACATAGCATTTTCCATTACACGGAACTTGAATTTTCTATGTTATTCAGTACCCAATGACAGGCGTAAAAACATAAGCTAAAGTAACGTTGCGATTGGATTCTTAATGTACAAACGGTATGACGTGCGACAAATGCTAATAAAGGGACAGATCCGTTTTGTGGTTACGGAAATGGAAGACTTGAGAGGATGAGCGAATATGACGAGTCACTCATTGTTTTCGCTCGTCCGATTGTTTGTATATATACAAGTTGTTTAATCGTGAGAGCACCGTCGCAATAACAAAAATTACAAATTTAATTATGATTCGTTTGTCAGCAGCGCCGCAGATGGATATTAAAAATATTGAGATGACTGATCTTGTCAAGAATGATTCCGATAAATTTTATACGCGACAAAAGGACAGACATTGTACTATATTCAGGATTAGAAAGTAGTCCTGAATCTCAATTTCACAATTATTATGTATACGTAAATTAATGACAAAGTGTGCGTCTTGACGTATCTTAAAATTGAAAATCATCGTTTTTTAATACTTCGATTTACTTACGTATTTTTACAAGTTCCAGGTTACTATAGCGCTGCTTTATCAGCTCCATCGATGTGTCATTCAAATCAGAACATGGATTGGTGCGTCACATCAAAAGTGGAAGCGAGAAAATGCAAATCTCTGAAAAGATACGTCAATGATCTTGATAAGGAACCTATTTTTTTGTCTATCACTTTGGCAACCAGGAACGAGTGTATCAAGGCTATAAGCAATGGAAACTGCGATGATTTTGTGTCAAAGCCAAGGTTAAGTTAGTTTTCGCTCAAATTGAATAATAAAAATACTCTTCTGTTCTAAAAAATACAACACTTATTCACGTCTGAAAAACGCTGAAGCACGATTCACATAATACAAAAGTAAGGATAGGTATGAAAACACTACAATTGAAATAAACTGTTCTTATTTAATCTAAAGAAAAAACACTAATGCCATTTATTTAAAGTTATTTTAAAGAACGTTGCGTTTTAAGACTGAAAAAATCACGATTTATCGAAAAATTTATATTCCCTTTGCAAGCAATATGATGCAGACAAAATTGGCGTTTCCTTTTTTATTACTTGTATGATTTCATTACACTGTTTCTAGATAATTAATATTCATTTCTACACTTTTGGATGAAAAATTGAGACCGGAACAGAAGACTATCGTTGATGTTTAACGAACGGGGCTGATGTAGCTTTTGTTACTACTATGAAATTATTTGCCTCTCGTATTTAGTTATTCATAAATTTATTAGTGCTCCATGAATTGATCATAATAGGAAAATTCTTCACGTCTATAGATACTAAGAACAACACATTGAAATTTAAAAGTGCAGTGAAATGCGACACATGTTCTACTAATTTAGATTCTATGACACTGATATACAATAATAGTGAAACATGTACATTATGACTCCTTAAGAAGTAACAATTTTAGCGATAAATTTATTTTGTTCATTTTACATACTTAAAATAAATATAAATTGACATAAACATTTTTTCAGCTAGAAACTTGTGTACCAGTTATTATTGAATTTTTTTTGTATTTTACAATACATTCGAAAGAAAACGCAAATTACATACGCTATAAAATTAAATAGATAAGTCACTTTGGTACAAAAAAATTACACGATGCTTAGAAAATACTAAAATGGTATTAATTCAATTTTCGCACTGCTTCAAACGTCTGTATCGTAATATTCATGTGCTCGACCAGCGAGCCAACATTTTCAGGCCTCAGATATTCCATTATCGGCTCCATAGACAACTGTAACATATGAATAAAATTCGGACATTTAACGACAACTGACTGACACGATCCGGACGAACAGCTTAAAAATGTATATTGAAAAATAATATTCTTTAATTAGACTTGGTCATGAAAAATAAATAATTCCTATAATTATATATTTATGCATTTTGAGTATAAATTAGTTTTAAAAATCTCACCATGCTAGGGCCGGCTGAAATATTGCATAATGGTGTAGAACTGCAAGCAGCAATGGTACCAATAATTCCAATTATTATACCAAACAGCAAGTGTATAATTGTAAACTTTGTTTTCGTGAGAAGCGTCGCAAGGAAAGTTATCGTCGGCAGGATTACAGTGGTTACCACAGCTGGATTTCTGGTGTCCAGCCACTTATCATCTGTTTGAGCTAATGCGTTTGCCTGGTTATTAATTATTCGCGGACTCAGGCTTTCAGATAGATCGTTATCTATCAGACTGTCGCTTGGATAATGGTTATCGACTATTCTGTCAACCGCGTTGCTCTGGGCCAGGCACGCAAGCGGCAATAAAAGTGTGAAAATGATTGTTGTCTTCATTTTAGGGCAAATCCCTGTGATGCTTGAGGCTTGAATGTTAGAAATGAACTGAAAGAGTATTGGTTGATTCGGTGGGCTATGTTAGAACTCAACGGGATGGCCGGACAATTGGAGATAAACCGAGGCAGTGCTTAGTTTACTGATAGTTACTTAAATACTTGTTGACTGCCATATACTTAAGACTCCCGTAGTTTCTGGCATTCGGTAATGTAAACTTTCTCTTAGTAGTTGTATAGATCGCTGAAAAATCGTCCATGATTCATTTGAAAATAATTCTTTTCAGAATGAAAAAATGTTTTTATTATGTCGATATGTTACTCGATTAGTTTAATTTTACGTGACTTATTGCTTTGTAATCTGTTACACACGCACACATGTACGAGCAAATGAGCATCAACCATAAGCTTCTACTAGGTTTCTTGTCTCAAGCATGGCACAAAAGTAAAAATATCAGAAAATCAGTGCAGAAAATGTGTTTTTTTGTTCACCTGTTAACCCATTAAGGACGGGACGGACACTTTTTCGTGTCCAACTTCAAGCTACCACCAAGCCAATAATATAATTGCAAAAAAATTCGTGAACCACCGTTTCCTATGTTTTGGAGTATGTTCTTTCCGATTATGACACTTAATTTTTTCTAAAATGAGTTTTTTCATGTAAAATTTCAAGATTGAAAAAAAAGGACTGATTTTTTGGAAAAAAAAATTTTTGTGATCGAAATTTGTTTGCCTTTCGATTTTTTTATGGGCTTAAAATCCATAAAAAAGGTGTCCATGATACCTTAACTAAAAAATATCGGCCCTACGAAAACCCAAATATATATATATTTTAATAAATTTGCGTAAATAAACAAAAATTTCATTCACTAACTTCACCGATTTTTATCTCGAAAACTATCGACTTTCATGAAAAGTTTATAAGAACAAAAAATGCTTAGAATCAGTCAAGGAACACGTCTGAATTTTCAAAATCATTGAAAAAACCAAAAATGGTCCCCAAAAATCTGAAAAAATTCAGACGTGTTCCTTGACTGATTCTAAGCATTTTTTGTTCTTATAAACTTTTCATGAAAGTCGATAGATAAAAATCGGTGAAGTTAGTGAATGAAATTTTTGTTTATTTACGCAAATTTATTAAAATATATATATATTTGGGTTTTCGTAGGGCCGATATTTTTTAGTTAAGGTATCATGGACATCTTTTTTATGGATTTTAAGCCCATAAAAAAATCGAAAGGCAAACAAATTTCGATCACAAAAATTTTTTTTTCCAAAAAATCAGTGCTTTTTTTTTAATCTTCAAATTTTACATGAAAAAACTCATTTTATAAAAAATTAAGTGTCATAATCGGAAAGAACATACTCCAAAACATAGGAAACGGTGGTTCGCGAATATTTTTGCAATTAAATTATTGGCTTGGTGGTAGCTTGAAGTTGGACACGAAAAAGTGTCCGTCCCGTCCTTAATGGGTTATGACGAGTCACACATTGTTTTCGCTCGTCCGATTGTTTGTATATATACAAGTTGTTTAATCGCGAGAGCATCGTCGCAATAACAAAAATTACAAATTTAATTATGATTCGTTTGTCAGCAGCGCCGCAGATGGATATTAAAAATATTGAGATGATTGATCTTGTCAAGAATGATTCCGATAAATTTTATACGCGACAAAAGGAAAGACATTGTGCTATATTCAGGATTAGAAAGTAGTCCTGAATCTCAATTTCACTATTATTATGTATACGTAAATTGATGATAAAGTGTGTGCATTGACGCATCTTAAAATTGAAAATCATCGTCTTTTAATACTTCGATGATTAGTTTTTTGCTCTATGACTAAAGTCAGACTTTTCAAAAATCCCATTGCAGCTTATCGAAACATGTTGATTCGGCGTGTGTTGCCGGTCCTTGATCGTTTGATCATGTACTACAGACAGCGAATTAAGTTGGTGTAAGTCGCATAATAAAAATAACATTATTACAGAATATTTCGAAATAACTGAAATAAATATTGATATTTTAGAAGTAGAGTATTAAAATCCTTGCGCGCTATATTAAATCCATCCAAATGCAGCGTAGAAGATAAGTATTATAGGATGATGACTGGAGCCGTGACATATTTGAGACAGTGTTTTTTTTTACATTTTTATAAATAGAAAATAATCCGATAAATATATTGAAGAAATAAGAAAAATCTATAGATTTATATTTTTAAGCTACAGTCGAATGATCAAGAGATTCAATGAAGAAAGGTCTAAGTACTCTTTATAGTTTTATTATGTCTACGCTATACGTTAGTACAACTTAGTACTTCTACTATTATATATGTTTCCGCTAAGAGCTAATTGCTTTCGCAGCAGTTAGCCCTTGACGGATGCGCATTACTTTGTCAAAACGGAGCCTTATTTATTTTACCTATTAACATAAATTGCACGTGTACGTGGATTACGGATCCAAGAACTGTTATCATTGCAGCATTATGGTAATATATTGTAATCCGAGACGAATAGCCGATTAACTGTCGACTGGCTATGCAAAAACATCGGAATTTATACAAGATTTACGGACAAAAAAAGACGCGGAATAAAACGCATCTCTCTCGTGTCGTGCAAGTTTTCACGTGTGCATAATCTGCAAGTGCCTCAAGACATAAGAACTTGTCTAACAAGTCGTGCGTTTGTCTTTTACGTAACTATTTTCTATCGGGCACGGGAATGTGCGAGATGGAGTTCAAGTGATTTCATCGCGTATAATTAGAATATAAAATAAAAACAAATAATATAAGTCATCCCACGAAGTAAATACAAGAACTTTATTTCCATTGTTATTGAGCGATTTACTTATGTATTTTCACAAGTTCCAGGTTACTATAGCGCTGCTTTATCAGCTCCATCGATGTGTCATTCAAATCAGAACGTGGATTGGTGCGTCACATCAAAAGTGGAAGCGAGAAAATGCAAATCTCTGAAAAGATACGTCAATGATCTTGATAAGGAACCTATTTTTTTGTCTATCACTTTGGCAACCAGGAACGAGTGTATCAAGGCTATAAGCAATGGAAACTGCGATGATTTTGTGTCAAAGCCAAGGTTAAGTTAGTTTTCGCTCAAATTGAATAATAAAAATACTCTTCTGTTCTAAAAAATACAACACTTATTCACGTCTGAAAAACGCTGAAGCACGATTCACATAATACAAAAGTAAGGATAGGTATGAAAACACTACAATTGAAATAAACTGTTCTTATTTAATCTAAAGAAAAAACACTAATGCCATTTATTTAAAGTTATTTTAAAGAACGTTGCGTTTTAAGACTGAAAAAATCACGATTTATCGAAAAATTTATATTCCCTTTGCAAGCAATATGATGCAGACAAAATTGGCGTTTCCTTTTTTATTACTTGTATGATTTCATTACACTGTTTCTAGATAATTAATATTCATTTCTACACTTTTGGATGAAAAATTGAGACCGGAACAGAAGACTATCGTTGATGTTTAACGAACGGGGCTGATGTAGCTTTTGTTACTACTATGAAATTATTTGCCTCTCGTATTTAGTTATTCATAAATTTATTAGTGCTCCATGAATTGATCATAATAGGAAAATTCTTCACGTCTATAGATACTAAGAACAACACATTGAAATTTAAAAGTGCAGTGAAATGCGACACATGTTCTACTAATTTAGATTCTATGACACTGATATACAATAATAGTGAAACATGTACATTATGACTCCTTAAGAAGTAACAATTTTAGCGATAAATTTATTTTGTTCATTTTACATACTTAAAATAAATATAAATTGACATAAACATTTTTTCAGCTAGAAACTTGTGTGCCAATTATTATTGAATTTTTTTTGTTTTTTACAATATATTCGAAAGAAAACGCAAGTACATAGGCTATAAAATTAAATAGAAAAGTCACTTTGTTACAAAAAAATTACACGATGCTTAGAAAATACTAAAATGGTATTAATTCAATTTTCGCACTGCTTCAAACGTCTGTATTGCAGTATTTATTTGCTCGACCAGCGAGCTAACATTTTCAGGCGTCAGATATTCCGTTATCCGCTCCATAGACGACTGCAACATATGAATCAAAATTCGAACATTTAACGACAACTGACTGACACGATCCAGACGAACAGCTTAAAATTGTATATTGAAAAATAATATTCTTTAATTTGACAATTGGATTTCGCAATGAAAAATGAATAATTCCTATAATTATATATTTATGCATTTTGAGTATAAATTAGTTTTAAAAGTCTCACCATGCTGGGGCCAGCTGAAATACTGCATAATGGTGTAGTACTGCAAGCAGCAATGATACCAATAATTCCAATTATTATACCAAACAGCAAGCGTATAATTGGAAAATTAGTTTTCGTGAGAATCGTCGCAACGAAAGTCATCGTCGGCAGGATTACAGTGGTTACCACAGGTGGATTTCTGGTGTCCAGCCACTTATCATCTGTTTGAGCTAATGCGTTTGCCTGGATATTCATTATTCGCGGACTCAGGCTCTCAGATAGATCGCTATCTATCAGATTGTCGCTTGGATAATGGTTATCGACTATTCTGTCAACCGCGTTGCTCTGGGCCAGGCACGCAAGCGGCAATAAAAGTGTGAAAATGATTGCTGTCTTCATATTAGGGCAAATCCCTGAGATGCTCGAGGCTTGAATGTTAGAAATTAACTGACAATGTTGGTTGGTTCGGTGGGCTATGTTAGAACTCAACAGGATGGACGGACAATTGGAGATAAACCGAGGCAGTGCTTAGTTTGCTGATAGTTACTTAAATACTTGTTGACTGCCTACTTTAAGACTCCCATAGTTTCTGACATTCGGTAAAGTAATTTTTCTCTTAGTAATTGTATAGATCGCTGAAAAATCGTCCATGATTCATTTGGCAATAATTCTTATCAGAATGAAATGTTTTTATTATGTCGATATGTTACTCGATTAGTTTAATTTTACGTGACTTGATGCTTTTGTAATCTTTTATACACGCATACATATACGAGCAAATGAGCATCACCTATAAACTTCTACTAGGTTTTTTGTCTCAAGCATGGCACAAAAGTAAAAATACCAGAAAATCAGTGCAGAAAATGTGTTCTTTTGTTCATCTGTTGGACCAGTTCACTAAATCTTAGTCTAAATTTAATCTAAATTCTAGGGAATCTATGAAAATATTCAATAGTTGGCGAGTTAGTTTCACCGAGCTTATTGTTACTTAAAAAAAATACGTAACATCGATTTTTTCATAAACTTGAATAGACACGTTCTAGTTTTGGAACTCTGTTTTGATTCATTATTCTTCAATTAAGAACATTTTACAGTTTTCTCAATATTACTTTACTTTAATGTTTTATAGATTAGCGCTAAATGCGTTATCATATAAGAAGTTTATTTATATTACTCTGGATCGTATACATTACACCTACATTTGCTTAAACTTTCTGGATCTTATCGTCTTATTAACATCGAATTTGAATTTCATTGAATTTCCTTTCCGAAATAGGCTTGCATTTCCCATGCAAATTTTGGAAAAATTTAAACATAAAACAAAATTACATATTAATTCATTGAAGGTCGTTAGCGCAACAGTTTTTTCAATGAAGTGTAACGTTTTGTTCCAATCGGTGAATATATTAAAACTTATGTGCTGTATTTTACTAAATTTAAATTTATAATTATTGGGCCAAGAGCGGGAATACTTCATAAAGTTTAAAAATATTTCATTGAAAATAAGATGTTAATGTTATATGAAACTTGTATCGAGTTGTTTGTACTTTTAAATTGTATTATTTATGTATTAGATCATAAAAATAATTTCCTTAAATATTATTTAAGCAAATCATTTTCTATTTTTTCAATGAATTCCGTTAATTACTTGAGCATACGTTTATGGCCTGGTCACTTAAGACCGATTATCTAATCACTTTCGAAGTGCATTAAGATACATATGTTAAAATGAAAACCTACTTAACGTAAATAAAATAATAATTTATGTAAAATTTAATCGTTATAATTAAAAACTAAATGATACGATATGGAACAAATAAAAAATACGAGCTGTTACCGGCTGAGCTGTCCAACAAATCTAGAGGGAGACACTTAGATAATCACAATATGTTTAACAACTATACAATGATGTGCCTCTATACTGTGATAGTTTATGCTAATAAAATAATAACCAATTTCATTTTTTAATCTAACCATTTTAGACCTTTTCATGAATGCAAGTCGTGTAAATATAAGCTAGCAGGGTGCAAATCTCTGGTAAAAATGAAGGGTTTTTAATACAAGCATATTTTTTTACTATATTTCGTTTATTACCGCAAAGTATATTTGTAAACGTGAGCTTTTATTCTCAGGTATTTTTATAATTTCTATTCAGTAGCTTATAACGTACTATTCATTGCAGTATATGTGTTCGGCAGAAAACTAAAACGTGCAGTTCAACGGTCTATGCAAATTCATAGTGCTCAACAGATTCCACAATAAGTACATCACGAGTATTTAGAAAACGATGAGCACGGAGAGAGGCATGTTACAAAATTCTGGAAAGTTCAGTATTAAATGGAAAGTTGACCAATTTTTTGCCGGTTGCCAGAAAAAGGGACAGTGTTACACGTCGCCGAAATTTGCTGTAGTATACGGTTGTAAGACTATAAAATGTTATTTGGAGGTTTACCCTCTGGGAAATTCACGCGCGTCAAGTACATCTGTGTCATTGCATCTTTGTTTTGAGAGTAAAAGTCGTATATTAGGATCATTTCAACTTGCAATAATGGATTTGAAAATTAATATACCTTCGACTTTGAAAGCTGGAGGAAAGTTTAACGGTACTTCTAATACTATTATGGGTAAACCGGATTTGAATCAATACGAGTTCAATGAGATTAGTGGTACTTTGATCAACGATACATTGGTAATATTATGTGATATTGCAATTGAGATACCAGACTCAGATGTTACAGAAAGTTTTCATCCCTATGATGAGTGGCTTTATAAATGGGAAAATATACTTGGTGACTTCGAAAACCTTTTAGAGACCGGTACTTTCACTGACGTGACGTTCACTGTGGAAAATAAAATAATCAATGCACACAAAGACATTTTATCGTGCCGAAGCCCAGTTTTTAAAGCCATGTTCGAGCATGAAATGAAAGAGAATGCGCAGAACTCCGTCAAAGTGATCGACATCGATTACGAGGTATTGCGGGAAATGTTTCGATTTATATACTCGGGAAAAGTACAAAACATCGAGAAAATAGCCAGCAATCTTTTGATTGCTGCTGATAAGTATCAGCTAATTGAATTGAAAGCACTGTGTGAGAATACTCTATATGTTAGTGTCACAGTTGATAAGGTCGTCGAGTATCTAAAACTAACTGAAATGTGTGACACAATTCATCTGCAAAAGCTACTCATTAAGTTCATTGCTACTCATTACAGGGATGTTGACAAGATACCTAGGCTTGCGGATCTGAATAATAATATATTGTATCAAATCATACAAGCAATTGCAAATCACAAATAAACGCCGCGAATTCTTTCATATTAATTACTTTTATTTAAGACAACACACAATACTTGATTACTTGTCTCACTATATGACTGTAGGTAATATATAATTTTTCGTTTGAAATACAATACAAACTTCATTGTAATTTTTATATGTACTCTTTCTGTTTTCTTTTTCATAATTTTTGTATTTTAACGTAAACTTTAACAATTATTTATCAATAAATCTTCAATATATTATTTTAACTTTTTATTCTTAAAGTTAAAATTTAAATTACCGAAAAATGTTTTATTAAAAAAATAATCTTTGTATAAATAAAAATAAGTGCATATTGTGCACATACAGACATTAGATTCCTCGTTGCGCTCCGAACTGAACAACCTTATTCCTATTTTTTTTTTAATGATGAGTCGCCGACATCACTGTTATATTGGTCGATGCTAAAAAAAGAGTGCAAAACTTTGAATTTTCAAGTTTAACTTGCAATCTCTTGCGAAGTCGAGCGGACCTTAAACGAAGATTTCGAATACGGTATTATCGTATACGAGTGTAATATCACAGTCGTGCTATCAGCAAAATATTCAATATCATCATGTTATACCTATAATTCACAGGTTTTTATTTAAAGAAATCATAAGAACAGATATATACACTGCATTCTAGCGAAAATGTGTAAATTCGCAGATTAGAGTAATCTGTCTCGTATTGATTGGTTTCAAGAATATCAGCTTCAGCGAATCGAAGAAAATCATCGGAATGGCCGCCATTCGCATACTTAAATCGGAAATCTTGGCAGCTTTTTTTAATCAGCCTACTTCTTTTTTTCTTTGGGCATTCGAGCTGCGTTAAGATGTTTTTTTTTCATTTGCCATAATGTTCAGGATTTACTCAACTATTTTGGTTTCTGTATAAATTTTTTGTACATGTACCACATTAAAACGTCTTGCTTTTTCAAGTTGAACGCGTACATATACTTTAGTTGAGGAATGGATTTATAAAGAAACTAAGCTCATACATCTACAGATCCTTCTGAGCATAACTTTATTCAGAAAAATATATAATACCGAGGTTTCGGAAATGTAATAAATTCACCTCATCAAAGCTAGAAAAACATACAACGATCACAATTGTTTGAGAACGTAACCGAAATGAACAAAGACAAACGCCACAATATTATTAATTGCAACAATATTCACTTTGAATGCTCAAATCAACCGCCATTTTTTATCGGGTTACACAAATAAAGAAACTGTCGTTATAGAGCGTGACGTCGTGTAGTCGTAAGCAATTCGAAGAAATCGCAAATTAACAACCCTCAAGGGCAAATAATTAGTGAGAAATTTGCCGCTTCAACAATTTCGCGCACTAGCAAATTAAGAAATAGACGCCCGTTCGAGCGCAGAAATTTCTTTTCAAATGCCGTGTTGCAGACCCCCCCCCCCCCTCCACTTTAAGATAACGAGCGGCGCCGGTCCCCCTGTGCCTTCTCTCGCTTCGCGAACCTACCGGAGTAAGGGTTGGGTTAGCCATGTGCTAGCCCTTTTCGTACCTGGGTCATCACCCTCGTGAGATTTTTAGCCTTCTAGAAGTCGCCTCCGTGAAACTGATGAACGGTGTTACGGCCACGACAACGTTGGGTTTTAACGATAAGCTGTTAGAATTTTTGTTTTTCTTTTTTTAGCAAAACCACTAGAGACTAGATGTGATCATGCATGTCACTCGTCCATTTGGTACAATTACTCTAGGTCGCAGTTTTAATTTCTAAAACGCACGCATGCAGTTTCGCAGATCGAGACGATAGAGTCGTAAAGATATCTTTTCTTAACAATCAGCTAACGATTCTCGAGAACAGATGATATAATACGTCTGTAATCCATGTGCTCCGTACTTTCTATTTTTTTTTTTTTCAAAATTAGACCTGGAAACCTTTTCTCATCTACTACGCTGTTTCGGCAGGTGCTAGGCTCGAACCCCCGGACGGTGCTCGGGGGAGTAAAACATGTTTAGAGGTAACTGCATGTTTAACAGTCATTGTCTAATAGAATTAACACCCATCGCCCAAGGCAATTCATACAGTAAGAGGAAAACTCATTTCTCACGGCTGATAAAGTTTCGTTGATGTACAATACACGACAAGTTGATCAAAATATAACGGGAGATATAATAAAAGGCAAAATTGGCTTACACCTAAACATATTTATGTTTCTTGGCCTTCCAATATTGCAGCGCATTTAAATCTCTATTATTCTTATAACCTTGTTCCTCGTCTAAAATCTTCTTAAGTACTTCATTATCGACATTCGCAGCTACATTACAACTCAGAAATGCACGAAATCTTCTTCGTTGTGTTTATCTCGTCAATCTCATCGTTCCGATCTCTTTCTCTTTTTTCGACGTCTTAATATCTTCAGACTCGTCACTGCTCGAGAGCAGCCATTGATTCGGATAGGTACTCTACAGAGTTATTCTGCCCAATTATAGCCTCTGCATTATAGGTATGTGCGAAAGAAGTTTCATACTTAAAAAATTGAACTTACCAGTTTCAGTTACGAACTAAGTAGAAAGTACGAAAAGACGCAACAGTAAATGCTTGGGATATCAGTTGATCAAACTCCAATTGTAAAAACGAGACTAGATAAACTGGTGATTTTGAAATATTCCTGAGGCGTGCTTGTGAAATACACAGAGATGTATGTATTTTGATATTACTTCTAGAGATAAACACATTTTTAAACATCATTCAGTGCTTTAATAGGAAATTATCAATTAAAATATCACTGATTGTTTAAGCTTTCTAATATATTCAATTTCGTCTGTTACGTATGGAACTGTATTCATTGATATGAACGGATAGAGAAAAAAATTGCCACTGATAGTACGTTGGCGACAACAAAACAAAATATTTCGGGGAGGCGCTGTAACCTACAAAGCTGGGGATCGAAATTTGCCGTTTTACTATCAATCATCAATCATATTTAAAATAATGCCGTCGCCAACACTGTTAGCATGGTGCACTACACCCATAAGTTCAGTAAGTATACGCGGGAAACTCGAGCTGACGGGGGTAAACGCGCTGCGCTTGTACAAACGTTGATACGTTTGAATTTCTCCGACAGCTGCAGCAATCCGTGCAGGAACTTCTCAACAGATACATGAAACGAGGATTCCAAGTGCCATCCCAAGTTTTAGAGATACAAGGGCTGAGCGGGAAGACACCCGGCGATAAGTGGAAAAGTCTCAACGCAATCGTGAACGGGATCGTGGAAAGCGTAAAAAATGGCGATGAGCTGGAGGGTCAGTTGAGCGCGTTAACGCCGTCGCTGTTGAATCTCGTGAAGACGAACGTCGGAGTGAAATTACAGCTGAGCCATTACATCGTTGAGTCTCTGAAATCGGAGGACGTGAGCGTCAATAAAAGGGCACTGAGCGCTCGCTGGTATTTCCACGGTGGCAATCCACGCGTCACCGTCGACCACTTCGTCAACGATATTTTGCCGTTCGTATCGGTGCGAACGAGGTTAAACATCGTGAAACGATTGGCTCGCGGCCTTCGAGGATACGAAGCCAAAGCTCAACAGTTCTTCACCCAACTGGTCGAACTTTACGGCGTTCAAACAACCTTGCCGATCTTAATAGCCTGCTCGGACGATGTCATCCTCGACACGATTTTGCGCTACAAAATCGTCCTCCCGCTTAAAATCCTGAAAATGTTGTTCTCAAGAGGCTCGCACGACGTTGCCGTCCGCTACCTGCGATTGAGCAACGGGAACGGAGCGGAAGGCGACGACAACGGCACCCATCAGATCAGCATTCACTACTACGATGCCTTCTTACCAAAGTTGATCACGCATCACCCGCGAGACTTTGTCGCGCTCTACTCATTGACGCCCGAGAAGATGCTGCCGACTTTGAGCCGTCGGAAAACGGCCTGCCTACTGGAGAAGGTGAAAGACGCGATTATCGACAGATCCGATATATTCCTGAAATTGCTTCAGCCGAAAGTCGTCAAAGCGAAGCTTAGCCAGGAGGACATCGAAAGGATGTTGGAGAACTACTTACCGAACGATATTGCGGATTTCGTGTTGGGCGCGGCTCTAGATTTTGTAGACAACTACTGCGACGACATTCAAATACTAATGCGTAAGTTTGTGAAAAAGTACGGTAAGAATTTAGTCGACCATGCTCGAAACATCGCCGAACCCGGCAACATAATTTCCGAGCAGCCGAGTCTGAAATTTCTCTGTAAGCTGTCCATGGCGGAGCGCAAAATTCAGATAAATTTATTGCTGGATAATTTAAGTAGCGAGAACGACTTCTGGAGAACCTGGCTAATGAGTTACTTGCCTACAGACGAGTCGTTGCCGTACTTTAAGGAGAAAATGGCCAAATGTTTTAACGCCGACGACCGAGATCTGTTGATCGGCTGCATGGTCCATTCCTGCAGGGTGCAAAACAGTAAGAGCGACCTATTGAACGTTCTCAAGTACTTCCGAGACAGGCACAAAAACGCTAAGCACGACTTCGTGATGAGTTTTTTTATATATCTGACGACCCACTTTACCTTAAGCGAGCTCGACGAGGCGCATTGGTCCGTTGTGCGAGAAATCTTGAACAATGCTCGCGTGATAAATCAGCTGCTTCACAAAAATTTATCATTGTGGAATGACGTGCTGGAAGGGATGTTGTGTCACATCATGACTGGCAAAAAGAGAAACGATCAACACCTGGAGGAGGTGATAGACACGATGGTCTTTTGTAAAATGGGGCATCCTTTGGATAGTTGGAACGTACTTGGTGTCGACTTGGCACTGGAAAAGGAATGCATGGAGAGGTTTTTCCTTCTCGTGCCCATTAAGTATCCCGAGAACCACTCGATGTGGTCGAATATATACTACAAGCTGACTGTCACCCTGAGCTTGTTCAAGTCGATCAAGAGCTACAACGATCGAAGCACAAAGGCGAAGATGGCGAGAATCGAACCGAAGGACTATCCCTGGATGACGAATCTCGCGGGCGAGCTTCTCTCTCATTCCACTCTCGACAGCGCGCAAATTCGCTTGGAGCTGCTCGCCAGGCTCTTCAAGGAGCAAGCCCCGGACCTGTACGAGCAGAAGATGTCCGAGTGTTCGGCGATCCGGAACATCGACAAGGGCGACGCCATTGAGCTGCTGAAGCGTCACCCGGACAAGGTGCTGGCCGACTGGCTGGATTACCTGAACCAGGCCCGCAAAATAATCCGGTCGAAAAAGCGAGTGGGCATCGACAAGGTCCGCGAGAAGCTGCGAGCGCGACGCTTCATCGCCGCCACGAGGTGGCACGACCAGCTGCCGATGAACTTCATCGAGGCCTGCCTGTCGGACATCAAAGTCGAGGGCAGCCTGGCCGTCCTGGGGATTCTGCTGCCCGGCGACGCCTTCGCCACGATCGTCAAGGTGTACGCGCCCAAGCAGGCCGAGGTCAAGACGAAGCAGTCGTTCGACATGGCGATCGAGGCTCTGGAGGGCATGAAGCTGACGAACCCGCCGGTGCCTCTGGCGAGCCTGCAGGCGTTCTGCCGCGGTGACTACCTGCGCATCGCCGACGGCGCGCTGTCGAGCCTCGCGCCGCGCGTGAGCGTCGCCGGCGCGCTGGACTTGGTCGGCAAGCTCGCGGGCCAGCAGCAACCCCCGCTGCTGAAACGCGCCCTGCTCCTGGCCAGGACCGTGGCGACCAAGCAGAGGTTCCGCGAGCTCCTCGTCGAAACCTTGGCGGGCTCGAGCGAACTGTCCATCAGGAGGCACCTCGCCAAAATGATCTTCGGTCACTTGGCCACGTCGTCGCCGCACGAGGCCAACTGCCAGCTCATGCTCGACTGCCTGCGCAGACTGACGCCCGACGACGTTGTCGTCATGTCGGAGCTGAACGAGGTCGAGACGATCCCCGTCCAGTTCCTGCCGGATTACGCCGCGGCGTACTTGGCCAAAGTCGAGGAGATATTCGCGGCAACGTGGGACTTTCAGTGGAGGTCCAAGTGCGTGTGCCTGCTGGTCGAGAGCTTCGACGAGAGGCTCACGCGCCACTTGCCCGAGCGCCTGTGCAAGCTGATCCTGAACAAGTACTTCTTCGACTCCGACTGCACAAACATCTCGAATGCCGTGAGAACGTTCGCCGTACGCTACTATCTGCTGGCTTGCGCCGACCACGAATTCGGATCGAGGCTGACTCTGCTGGTGAACATTCTGAAAAAGACCGCCGAGGGCTTCGACGTGTCGCATCCGAAGAAACGGCGCTGCTACCCGGCGAACTACACCATCCAACAGTTTTTCAATGGCTTGCTGAGCGAGCTCTGCGCCAGCGACGTCGCCGCTGACAAGAAACTGCGCATTGTCGAGAGCGTCTCGGAAATATTCAAGATGAATTTGTCGCCTTGGCAGGAACCCAAGTCTTACGTGTGTCTCAACCTCTACAAAGAGTATCTGCACTCGACGTCGCCGGAGAACTTTGGAAATCGCACTGGCAAGCAGATCAGCACTCTGATCGAAGAGCTGGAATCGAATATCCCCGTTGCCATGATCGCCGAATGCCTCGATAAGTTTGTCAGCTTCAATCAGATATTTCGCAACGATAAAAATCCTCATGACCTGAAAATGTCGTTGATCAAGGGCCTCCTGCAAGGCGATGAGTACTACGGTGCTCTCACGTCCATCAGTTTGCTCGACCTCAAACCGTCCGATATCGCCAAATACGACGAGCGTTACGATCAACTGATCAGCACCCTACGTCAAATGAAAAACTCATCGATACAGTACAATTTGTACCAGCATCTGAATCATCTTCTCGATTAGTAATCGCCGTGTTCTATTCGTCGTATATGGCGGTCGAACTACCAGTTTTACTAAGCCGAATTGAACGAGCGATCTGGAAAAAACTCTATCCGCGTGATTTTTACAATAAATCGTCAGAGATTGCTCTTTCGCATTTTCTATGACAAAAGTATCATAGCTTAACTGTTATCCTTATCTAAAATCACGAATGTACCATCAGCAATAAAATTTGCCCAACAATCAAAATTTGTTTTCAAGGCATTTTTCTTTATCCAACTGGTCAACAAGTGGAATTGTGTTTGTATCATTTTCGTTGTCGAATTTCATTTTGCTAAAAAAATTTACGTAGTTTGTTGCCGAATATTTGTTTTTTTTTACTTTATTGAAGTGTATCATAAGACTACCGGAATTTTTAATGTTTATCCGATAGGATTTTCAATGTAAATAAATAGTCAGTTACTTGTTGAGCTGCTTTCTCATGCCTTTCTCTAAAAAGAAAGTTGATTATATTGTATACCATAAATTCATTCAACTATGAGATTGCACAAAATAGTATACAAAAGAATTCAAAAGTGACAACAGCGTTTGAGCAGAACATTAATTTTTGTAAGTCGTAGAAGATGTTATTGTCGGAAAATGTACCGATGGTTTACAAAGGCTGCGATTAGAAATGCTCCAAATATATATACTATAGTTTCTCCCTCGGTAAATTAATTCAATACTACCGCTGCACAGTTCTCATGCAGCAACCACATTCTACTAAGGAAAGTCACAATATTATAAACAATTTAAACAATCAGCAAAACAAATTATTTAACATAATTTAATAATAAGTAATAAAATGATAATGATAATAAATAATTTCAAATTAGTAATATCACGATGAATCATTGATTTCCTTTATTTATAAGTTAATTCTATAAATCCGTGTAAAAAAAGTGTTATTTTCTCATTTCATATTTTCACGCAGCTGCGTGACACATAATTATGCTATTTTTGTATAGATTAATCAAAGACTTTAAAGATTGAGCTGCTCGATGCATAATTCTGATAATGTAATTGTAAATTCATCATGAATGATTTCGATTGTTTCATTATAATTATAACATTGATTGTGTGACAATTGAATATTTAGCTGAATTAAGACCAACACTTCCACTAATAAAGTGAAAGATGTGTTTTATTCAATTATTTTGCAATTGAAATTCATTCTTATATACATTTATACATTTAATAAATTTATCTAAGTTAAAAATATAGTGAACTGTTAAAAATATATACTGTTAAATATATATATAAATTTGAAGTTGGCATATAGCTTCAAATTCTTTGGGAATAAAATAAATTATTGTACTGATCTTGTTTGTTTCATTTGGATTCACCAGCAGGCATAATACATTAATATTTTATTCGATATTTTTGTGGGGAAATTGTCCCTAACTCAAAGTAATGTGGTTTCGCCGTTAGAAAGAAAAATTTGATCAATTCTGAAAAAGTAAGCATCGAGACATATAGTTACGTTCCTGGTTTTGAATGTTTTGCTTGTTGTTTTTTGACGATCGTAAAACAGAAGGAGGTTGACAGACCAAAAAGGCGAAGCGGTTCGCGTCGAAGATCTTATACTTCAGGACGAAATGAAGTTTCGAGTTGGTATAAGGGGAAGAGAAAGATGCCTCAAGCGCGTTTGAAGTTTTTTGCTTCGTTATTTAAACGACGGCCGAGTAAAAGACCCGGTCTTTCCATTTACCATCGATGGCTAATGGGTCTCCACTTAATTATAAATTTCTTCGTGAGACTTCACGATTTACGTTTGAATACATGTTTGCATACCAAATGCGACAGCGATCCCTCCCTTGCCGATATAGTTATTTTACAATTCAGAAGCTACTGAACTTAACAAAAAGTTTTGCTTTGCAATTTCAATGTATCATTAAGATCGTAGTACTTTAGAATATAGCAAATGTATACTTAAGAAAAGCAAGGTTTAGAACAATATTAAAACAATTTCGAACAGTATCGCCTTTGGACATTAATTTCTTGATTGAAAAACAACCATTATTATGCTTCTCGATTACCACAAATTAAAACGAAGTTTTGATTATAGATTTAGTAATAATGAATAGGTTGTCACGTTTCTTCAAATTCTTGCTATACATTTTACTTACAATTAATTGCCTGATAATTATCAAATACTGGTTTACTTTGTATCTCATACTGTTCTTTATTATATATATTCAAGAATCTATAATTAACATTTTTTTGTAACGTATGAATATTTACTAGTTCATTAAGCTTATTATTTAACATTTTTCAGTTTGAAAATTTATTTTTATTCACAATAAATTGCGCGATGCGTTAATAATTATCAAACTACTAATTCTTTTTTTTTAAAGTTGACATTTTAAAAGAAGTTCATAATTCAATTATTCTTTCTTATACTATATACACGGGGAAAAGGAAATAAAAAGACAAATGCAGTTTTCATGTTTTCTGAAAAATATATCATTAATATCAAACAAAATGCTTCGAACAATTTAAATTATTAAAATATAACAGGTTAATTCGTTGATTGAAGTATAAAAAGGAATTTCTTAGAAAATTATCTAATGAACGGAGTATGGCTATACGTTTTGTGATATCGAAACTCACTGTTTACAAAGAAAATTTACATTTCAGTTTTCTAATGAGACAGCCGATTGAAAAAAAACACGGTATATATTTAGTTTTTGAACAACTTTAAAACAAATGTTTCGTGATCAAAATTCTCTTTACCTCATGAAAAAAATAACTTGAAGAAGTGATCTTCCATAAAAAGGCGCGAGGGTGAGAATGATCAGATAGAAGTATAAAGGCCCCTGAGCACCAGGAAGGGCTTTACGGCCCTGGGTCGTATCTGAGAACCGTCAGTGCGTTGCGCGAGCGGATGGTGCTGCAGGAGCCATTAAACGACTTTATATGTATATGTTGCAATTTGATCCCGTTCGGCTGGCTTCTCCCACCCTCTTTCTCTCCTCTCTCACTCCTTCTCTCTCTCTCTCTCTCTCTTTCTCTCTCTCGGAGAAGCAATTTGCGGAACCCTCGAGACTTTTCTGCGCGACACTCGCGAGAGAACACGTCTTGCCTACCTATACCTTGCTACGTCAGATGATGGGCCCCTTGTGTACACTGCTGTCTTTCTCTTTCTACCTTACCTGCGCGTCAGTGTGTTTTTCGGGGTCTTAGTGTGCTGCACGCACGCACCCAGACTCCACCTCCTCTCTCCTTTGGCTCTGTGCTACTCGTGGGAACTCGTACGAACGAAAGAGGTGAGTTGCCTTTTTTTGCTTTGCCCTCGGCTTTTTTTACAGCAGCAGCACCGCCGTGTTTTTAGTGCTGTTGTGCTCGCTGCACGGTGATTTAACTTTCGTTCTCTGATGCTTATGCTGAAAGATAGGTGTCAATGATCCGAACGCTTTGCCGACGACATTTACTCCGCGGTAGGGTGCAACAAGTGCCACTTATGAGAAAGACAGAGAGAGAGCATATACCTTACGTCATGTATGATATCAAAGACTTATGTGACTTACAGCCTTACTTGTATTGTTTTCTATAATAAACTTTCTGTTGCTTTGTAAGAAAAAAATATGTATGTATTGTTTATTAATACGCGATTAAGTCATTATCGTTGTCATACTTGTTATTACTTACTGTGTAGCTGATGATTATTACCTCTCTCAAGTTTATTCACTCAAGTAAAAGGAAACTTTGAAATTCTTGCTCTCATGTTATATTTCAACAACTGGAAATTTACTCACTAAAAAATTCTCTTTTATAGAATCTAAATATTTGTTTTGAAAATACAATTTATTGAATGTATATTAGCCTGGCAGGAAAGATAATAGCAATTAATCGATGGTTTTTTGTTAAATTGTATTTTATATTTGATTGTTTCAGAGTCCATGTTTGAATTTATTGATTGGTAATGCAGGGCGTAATGCCAGTAAAAACCAAACCACGATTGGACAATATGAGTGTGGTAGGTGGAGGTATGGTTGATGCCAGAGCTAAGCAAGTTTTAAAGGATGCTGTGGATGCAGTTGTTAATAGTTTTGCTAAACACACTCAAGGATATGGCAGAGGTTAGTAATAAGTTTTTACTATCCTCTCTATCTACCACTATCACTGGTACTCATTCCCTTTTGTAGTAAATGTTGTGGAAGCATTACAAGAATTCTGGCAGATGAAACAAAGTCGAGGCACAGAATTGAGAAATGGAGCACTTGTAATATATGAATCTGTACCAGCAAGCAATCCACCTTATGTCTGTTATGTAACATTACCTGGAGGATCTTGCTTTGGAAGTTTTCAGAATTGTCCAACCAAAGCTGAGGCCCGCAGATCTGCTGCAAAAATAGCTCTAATGAATTCTGTATTCAATGAACATCCATCTAGAAAAATCACGGATGATTTTATAGAAAAAGCTGTTACAGAAGCAAGAGCTAGTTTTTCTAAAAACACTGTAACTTCTAATGGGATTAATAACCAGTCTCAGGTTTGTATACTAGATATTTCCTTTTTATTTTTAAAAATTAGTAGTTCTATCAATCTTACATAAAGATTTAATTTATTTCATGAAATTTTAATAGTATTATAAAAAAGATTAACATTTTTAATATATAAATTTTAGAGAAAATTATGATTAAGATTATGATTTCTTTAAAGTACTAATTCAAAATCCAAACAAGGTACTCTTTTACTTATCAGTATCAAAATTTCAGACTCATAAGAAATATCGCAATATCTTTAGCTATTTGCAAATTTATTTTTAGAACTAATTTTTTTACCATGAAGTAAAACGTGTAGATATTGTTTGAAGCTTTCAATTTAAAAAGATATATAAAAACGAAAAGATATTATCAGCTAATAATTACTAATTTCGGATAGTTGAAGGACGATAAAGAAGATCCCAACACAGGCATCGGCGCATTCCGATTCATGCTAGAGAGCAATAAAGGTCGTACAATGCTGGAGTTTCAGGAACTGATGACAGTGTTCCAGTTGCTTCATTGGAATGGTTCCTTAAAAGCAATGCGCGAACGACAATGTAGTAGACAGGAAGTGGTGGCGCATTACAGTAATCGTGCTCTAGACGATGATATGCGTAGCCAAATGGCTCTCGACTGGGTAGCTCGCGAGCATGAAGCTGGTGGTGGTGTCGTCGCCATGGAATTGGCTTTGGCTGAACGCGAATTAGAAACCGCAAGATTGGCTGGTAGGGAACTTCGTTTTCCCAAGGAAAAGAAAGATATACTTATGATCGCTCATAGGCAGATATGCCCTCAATGAGGCCTTCCAGCTTTATCTCTTATTTCGACGTTACAACTTTTTAAAATTAATTTTATTTGTTTATTTTTTGTTTTCCCTGAGGATGGTCGTGATGATTATTTTGATTTTCATGCGATTGATTAAATTAATAATAAGCCGCTAAAATGTGATAATTACATCATTCCTTGTTATAAGACAAATTAGAATAAATTCACGTAAGAATAATAGAATAAGAGAACCTATTTTTATTTCGAAAATATTACTCTGTGAATTATATAGGGCGTAGAAAGAGCGAAGGTAAAAAGTGTATCTGGGAGTATTGGAATGGTATAGCTTTCATAATAAATTTAAAAAAAAAAATTGAATGAATATTTCAACGAAAATATCTATTAATCGCATGGAAATCAAATATATCGTGAATATTGAATTCGGTGGTATTTTGATAAGATCTCTTTATATGTATCGCAGTGCTTCCAAATGAACCAATGTTTTCCAAATCTTCATATGTACATATCTATCATGAATTGCTTCATCATCAATTTTACTCGTTGAGTTTCAATTGCTTCATTCAATATTGTTAAAATTTGGGTAGTTAGGCTAGCTTTCAAATGAATTGTAATTGTACCTTCTATTACAGTACTTAAGACTTTGTTCAATTAGATAACAATCGAGAGAAGTAATTGATGTCGTTTTTTGTAGATTTAGTTGGATTGAGATTACTTATATTCCAATATATAAGTATCAACAAAAAATGTAGCCTTAAAAGAAAACAATTAACATTATAAAATTTAGTAATAAGTGTTTAATTTTATTTACTATTTCAAAAGCCCATTGACCTGTACTTTTTTAAATTAACTCCTATCAAAATATAGTATAGCTTGCTTATCATTTATATCATTAATCGCAAAAATTGTGATATGTATGTGCTTAGAATTATTATCAAGACTGCAATGGTCAATTTTCATTCACCGATGTATTATTTTCATTCTTCATGTGCCTAAAGAGTGAATAATATTAAAAAAACTGCACTTAACCACAATATAATAGGCTACGTTTTATACCATGTGTATAATGTTTTATTATGAAACAAGTACTAATAAAAATGTTTTATAATAACCAATTAACAATTTTATTCAAAAGCTATACTTATCGTACATCCATTTAAAACATCAGTCATGTCCTCATATTTAGATACCAGTACTTGTAGGTTTGTCTGTGTTTGCATTTGATTCTTCTCTCTCCTGTAAAGGATGTTCCAAAACTTTATCTATGATACCAAACTCTTTAGCTTCCAATGGATTCATAAACTTATCTCTTTCCATACTATTTTCTATAACGAAAAAATTAATTATAAAATTTTTTTCCTAATTTTAAACATTAAAGAAATCAGTGCTAAATTATACTTCACCTATTTTTTGAATCTCCATGCCTGTATGTTTAGCATATAAAGTATTAATTTGACTCTTTATTTTGAGAATTTCTTCAGCCTGTATTCTAATATCAGTTGCCTGACCCTGAACTCCTCCAGATGGTTGGTGAATCATTATCCTAGCATTAGGTAGTGCATGACGCATTCCTGGTTCTCCAGCTGCCAACAGTAAACTTGCCATGGAGCAAGCTTGTCCAACACACCAAGTAGCTACTGGTGGTAGAACGTATTGCATTGTGTCATAGATTCCAAGACCTGCTGTGACAACTCCTCCAGGTGAATTAATATACAGATGGATTGGCTTTTTACTACTTTCTGACTGGAGAAAGAGTAGTTGAGCAATAACTAGTGACGATATTTCATCTGTTATCTGAAATATAAAACTGTATGAGACTAAACAATATAAAACTAAAGTGATTCATTTACTACATTCTAAATGGCTCGTAGTATTGAATAAATACAATCCTCTTTTGTAAAATAAATTATTGAATAGTCAATTTAGTTGATTTGAAGTAATAAATTTTGTGCTCTAAATAAGTTGTTAATATAATTTTTTAAATAACTACTTACTGGACCCATTAAACATATTATTCTTTCTTTCAGCAATCTAGAATAAATATCATATGCTCGTTCACCTCTTCCAGTTTGTTCAACAACTATTGGGACTAAATTAAGACTCCGACAGCTTACCTTTTTAATTGAATTCTAAAAAATTTTGTAAATGTTACTTTCCATGCCAATTTTATTTCATGAATTTATATAAGTATATTCATAATGCAAGACTGACAAAACTTACGTTTAATTGTACCAAACTGCGAAGATTTCGCAACATTTTAATGCTGTATCTATACAGTATTCAAACTTCAAACTTCAAACAAAACTAGGATGTATTTCACGTAGATACTTATTTATTTATTTACAAATCATTAAACATGAGTTTACATTGGTAGACCAGCTGATAATTTTTACCAATTTTCCCTTACACATGTCATAAAGCGATCGGGCACATCGATATACATATGCATACACACTTCAAGCTCCTAACCTAACAATATGACCTATAGAGACTTACTTGTCTTCTGCTAAACATAGTAAAACCGTGTTTTTAAAATACATATTTTGAATGGTTTTGAACAATAAATAACAATTAAAATTCTAAAATGGATATATTCATTAAATAATATAAAAATAAAAGTACCCGTTCAAGAGTTGTTGATTCACTGGTTTTAATTACTAGCCGGAAAAGTTTTATTGAAACGTTAGTAAATATTGTGTTAGGTTAGAAAAAAAAATTATTTAAATGTTTTAGTATTTATTTGTTATTTATTATTATTGATTTATTTTAATTACACATGATTTTTAAGATCCTAAAATAAATACTAAGCTAAATATCGTTAACCATAAATAGCATAAAAAAATCATGTTGATCTATGCTTATTATTTTAGCAAGATGAATGCTTCAATGTTCAAGACTTTTCAAAAAGCTTTTAGTAGTTTAACTAATAGGATTATTGCACCAAAAACACTGCCAATAATTATAAAAAGAGGAATACATCAGATATGCAATCAATATCCATCAACACTAACTACGACAAGTAGCCAGAATATATTTAAACCATTTAATAATTTTCTTGTGCCAACATCACTTCTATTCAATCAAGTTTGTGGAATGAAAATAAAAGGTAAATTACAACTCAGGTGTAAGGGATGTTACTATGTCAGTCGAGAAGGAAGAATGTACGTTATGTGTAAATTGAAACCCAGGCATAAACAAGCGCAAATGCAGAAACCATTTAAGAACAGGATGATTCTTACATTTGCTTATCAAAAGAAGCAACGTGATTGGTAATATATCAATAATACATATTCGTGAAATATCATTAATGTAATTCATAGTAAGCTGTTTCTACAAATTTATTTTGCAAAATAAATCATGTTTGTTAAGGAACTTTTTTTCTAAAATTTTAACACCTACATTTAATTATTTTTTTTTACATATGTTTGTTGGATCATTACATTTTTTTTAATATCATCTTATGGGTAATGACTAAAATATCTAATATTGAATATTATTTATGTGGAATTTAATGTAAGCTTCATATTAAATGTAAATTGTTTATGTTACTCAACCAATTTTTGAAAATTATTATAAAATAAATATGTTAATATTTTTTGGATTATGAATAAAAGGGAAAGAAAGAATATAAATTTTAGTTAAATTTTTTTTATTTTATTTAAAGCTTGATCAACAGGGTTAAAGCTTATACAAAATTTGATGAAATATTAAAGCTTAAAAAGATTATAAGAATATAATAAAATGTAGCTAAAGTGAACAATATTTAGTAACATTTTATTATATGATAAATAGTTGGATGAACATTTTTACTTAAATAAAGATTATAAGACTAAAATGTGTAGAATAATGAAATATATAATTTGATATATAACAAATTTAATAAAATTCAACTAAAAATTTGAATTACAAAAAATAAAGCGGATTGAAAAAAGTTCGCTTTAACATTAAATCTAAAAAATAATAACATAGTGTTAAATAAAAGTTATCATATGATGCATAAAATATTTGTAAATACTTAAAATAAAATGATTTTGTGAAAGTTGGTTGTTTAAACAGCATAATGAAAAATGGAAGTATTTGAAAAGTTAAAGGTGAAACAAAAACCAAAATAAAAGAAAACAAAAGTACCATATTCACGTGAAAATTCCGTTTTCAAAATACATCTTCCATTAACGTATGGAAATCCTCAGTTGGTAAGTCCGTCCGGGCGATTTCAAAGTATTGATCTCGCAAAAAATTGTCAAACCACTTGCACTCCCACCTTCTCAAGCACTCGTGCGCTTCGTACAAATATGCGAAACGAGTGCTAATTTATTGAGCTTCGTTTTTTCTCTCTTTTACTCGACGCATTCCTACTCCGTTATGATTTGCCGAGTGCTAATTGTCCAGTTAAACAGCCGTCGGCGAGTTACAGTTAAACGAATCTATATAGTTAAAAGCCCTACGATTTGTTCTCTCGCGGGCAAAGATGTCAGTCGTCGTAAGAACGACATAGCGCAGGTTTAGGATGAGCAAGTGGACGCTGCCGCTGGTGCTCGCGAGCTTCGAGCTTGTCTTTATGGTGACGGCCTACTCCAAGGTTTCGGTGAATAATGGACAGGCCAGATCTAGTGGCTCCGTTCAGGATGTTGCGTTTACAGTTTCTCCCAACGTCTATGTTGTTACACCGAGGACTATCGAGCTGAGACCTGGCGAAGTTGTCGATCATCCTTCCACACCTGTGTAAGAATCATTCGTTGAATTTTTTTCCTTTACGTCAATGTCGACAATCAAATGAAACGACGGTCGACAAGTCCGTTCAATAATGGAAATGTTTTATTTGAACGTTCGAATCGAAGGAAAGACGCGAGCGTTGAAACACTCTGTTGATTGCATAGCGGCTACTCGACGCTCGACGAAGAGCAAGTAGCCCAGCTAGACGCGATGGAAAGTCGTCAACGAGCCCAGGATCGTTTTGTGCCGCACTCGGGCATAGACGCTCACACTCACGCGTTGAGGCAGCAGCAGTTGCAAAAGCCGTCGAGCTCGCCAACGAGTAACGACGTGGTGTACACGAAGCCCATCGTCTCGATGACTTTTGATTATCCGTCCGGGCCGACAAGTTACGAGGGTAAACCTGGAAAACCGGGGAATGATTTGCCTCTGTATCCGCCGTTGAAGGTACGTACTGTATATTTTTAAGCTAGTCGACTAAAGTTAAGCTTCTCTTTTAATTCATAGTTATTTCGATCTGTATGGTGATTCATTTTGATTGAACCGTAATGTCTTATGTGAAAATTGAAATAATTCTTATTAAAATAAATTAACGACGGTCATTTTTTATATTAGCCATTAGATTCTTATCCATCGAGTCCCAGCAACGACGATGCACCTCCATCGCCGATTCACGCGTCCGACGCCTCAACATTCAACTTCGACAATCCACCGAAGTCGATAGAATACTTGAGCCACTACGAGTCGCCTTTCGTAGACGTGCCGTCATACGCAGGCCCTTACCCACACGACGATATTATCTACGATGATCATGATTATCACCATCATCACCAGCACAATCGTCCGAAACCTACGACCACCGAGGAACCGGAAATGATGGATCAGCGGCTTAACAATCGGCCTCATTATTCTTATTACTACATCGGCAAGAAACTGTGGTACGTGCCGCTTTACTTTAGCATTTACTTCATTATTTACATCGCTGCACTGGTGCTGAAAAGCATTGCCCGCCACAAGATTAACTTGCCTGCGAATCTGGCTGCCGCTGCCGAAGGCGCCAACGCGCGCAGTCAAGATGGTCTCGGATGGAGGGATTACGTTGTCGGTGTTCTCGATGCCGTTGAAAAGTATGGGAGTGTTTTCAAAGATTGAGACGATCGCGTGGTTTTATATTGCTCATCGATAATGTATATATTTGGCTACTGGGTCGTGTAAATAGAATGTTGCTGCGTTATATTTTCGAAGTATAAGTAGTTATGTGTCTATGATTTAGATTTAAATTTAGAATAAACCGTAGGATTTGAGAATGTTATGTATTCGTATTCGTTCACCTGTATCTAATGGCGATTAATAAAATGAAGTTTCTTATAGATTCTACTTTTTATAATTAATTTATACATCATCATCAATCTGGTTTGTGACTCGAGCGTTTCAATTATTTTTAATTATTAAATTTTTTATCTGACATATTTTGAAACTTAGTGATCATATTTAAATTTTAGCGAATTTCCAGCAGGCCATGATTCATCGAAATAATTCCAATGTAATTGGAATAATTTTCAATTTCAAATGAAAAATTGCAAATCAATACAGGATAATAAAAGAGTTGTTAACAATGATGACCAGAATGCAATGGTTATAATTAATAAATCTTAATACGAGTTCACATTTTTAATACGTCGATGAAAAAAATATGCGTTCCTTTTCAATTTAATGATACAACTGAACGCTCTACAATAAATTAGTTAATGGAATTAGTTTATTATTTCTGATTTCTTGGTCTCGCTAATTAGTATTTTATTCATATTGTAATAATCATTTATAAAGAAATTGAACAATAAACGATTAACTTAGCAAATTCTAATCATTTTAGTTTGAGAAAACATTCCACGAAAGTATAAACTTTATGATGACACTTTATATGATTATTTTTTATATTTACATGTAAAACGTGTTCATATTTATGCAGATAAGCAATTTATGAACGAATCGAAAGCACATTCACTACAGCATTTTCATGAGAAAATTGCATTTAAATTGTAGCAAAGTATAGACACAAATAATCACCAAACTCTTTGGCAGGTAAGGCCATAAAATTGTACTGAAGTTTATATAAAAATAGTAATAAAAATGAATAAATGATAAAGTGGATAAATGCATATCCAATTTAAATAAAACTATAATTCAAGTATGGTTCTTACAGAAGGTTGTTTTCTCAGATATTTTTTCTTTGGCAAATGTTGAGAATCCTTTGTTCCACAAAGAATTTTCCTTTCTATTAAAATCATCCATTGCGAGAGAAATCTTTTTATTTTAAAAAGAAAATGTTTATAGAAATGGATTGTTCTTTTATGCATTTCATATTTCATCTTTCAGTAGTCGAACACGATACCATTTTGAAAATAAACGACCAACCGATGTAATCTCGTTGCTAAAATCAAGAGCACAAATTCATGAAGCAGCCATGGTGTCACGTTTACACTATCAAGACGGCGAAGTATACAGTAATAGTAGAGGAAAATATCGCGTGTACGAGTCTTTTGTGATTAGCGCTTCCTTGATTAGATTATTGTTCGAACGGGATCGAGAAGCCGCTAATTACTCGATGCCCTTGGCAGCTCGTAGTTTCCAAGCATTGTAGACCTTTGCGGTACTTGCGCCGCTCTTCTCGCGCGTAGTTTTTCGTGTAATCCACGCTCGCTAACTTTGATTGCTATTGCAAAAACTGACTCTGGTAAACTAGTAAATTGTTCTAAAGCAACGGTTGTACATTTTTGCGAATTTTAGCTTGTAGAAGTTAGGGATTTAGCAGCAGATGATGGATCAATTGATTGCGACTATTGGGTTCTGTAAATGAATGTCTGATCAAATTTTATTTCGATAATGACATGTAATTTTTTTTTGTAAAATTTATGTTCATTATATTAAATAACAGTCTTTATAAAATCTCATAATATTTTTTTAATTATGATTTGTCTGTATTCGATCAAAGGAAGAAAAAACTAAAATTGTTATTTTAGTTAATATCTGGAATTCAGGCGAAGTAATAATACATTCTTAAATACAAATCTTTATTCAGATATAGATGTCGTTACTAATTTGGCTTTTTATAAATTTTAATTTGTGTCTTTTAGCATACTCATAAAAGACACCAGATTTTCCGGAAATTGTGCCATTCAATTGTGTGTATAACGTGCACTTACAGTTTCGCAGCAATTTACGAAGCGGCCAGTCAGCAAATATGTGCTTTTGAGTCAAGCCGTGGTAATTATTCTCTCGTTTTAACGAATGACCGAATGAATTTTTCAGTGTCGAAACTGGCTGAATGGAACTCAAAACTTTTCACAAATATGCCCGTGGAACAACTATCCTCTGCGACGACATTCGTATTTAATGATTTTGAATAAAATAACGTGCTAATTAGCTCTTGTTTCAATCGCGTTTAAACTTGTAATTCTATTGATAGCTTGTACGGGTAACTTTAAACGACAAAAATATCTTTTAACCTGTGATCTATGTTTTAACATTTCAATGACTTACAGCACTGGTTACGTTATATAATGATATAATTCACGATTATCGTATTGTATGCTGAACCAAACACAATGTAAGTAAAAAGCATACTCATTGTTTTTAGAATGGAAACATTTTTGTTACAAGTAATGGTAAAAAGGCATCTTTTAGTAAATTTAGTCCATCATTTAATCATTTTAAGCTTCACAAAGTATTTACCGAAATTTATGAACCATGTAACACATGGGCCTCATACATAGATGGGACTAATTTTATTGCATTCATCTCATTTTCAGTTAGTGGTAACCTTCAAGAGACAACTATTAAAATTTCACGACATTCTATTCAGTAGTTTGTAAATTATTGTGCCAAGAGTGACGCTACTTTTGTTATTTTCGTGTTTTAATTTACACTGCTTCGTAATGGGAAAAAATACCGTTGACGCGAAGCAACGACTTGTTATATAGCGTTATTGAAGCGTTTGAAGGTCGAAATTGCAAAAAAACCACCGCATATGGCAAAAAAAATGTTGTTTCATCGAGACAATGTACCGTGTCATAAGTCAATCAAAACAATGGCAAAACTACATGAATTAAACTTTGAATTTCTTCCGCATCCACCGCATTCCCCAGATTTATCTCCCAGCGACTACTAGCTATTTGCAGACTTAAAAAAAAGTGCTCGCCAGTAAAAAATTTCGCTCGAATAAAAAGGTTATCGCTGAAGATGAGGCCTGTTTAAGGCAAAAGATAAATCGATCTACAGAAATGGTATTGAAATGTTAGAGCGGTGCTGGAATGATTGTGTTGTTCTTGATGGAGATTATATTGATGAATAAAGCCAATTATAAGCGAAAAAAACCATGTTTTCTTATGTTAGACCCGGGACTTTTCAGCCCATGTGTTAATCCATGAATTTACTTTTTTTAAGACTCGTTAAAAAAAGAATGGAACGGTACCATTCACTTGACAAATATTTAATGTATTTGTTCATGCAGCTTCTGCTTATGAGGCAACAGCTGTTCTGGCTAAACGAAAACAAACTATTTTCGCAGACCAATCGTTGTCGAACACAAATAGAATTTAGCCACATGTGTACATTTCCAAAATGACGTCTACTCGCTAATAGGCAAGCAGGCGATCGGCCAGCAGGTGTCTGTTTGCTCATTGTCGAGTGCACAGCGCGTATACGTGCAGCAAAACGCATCGAAAGAGGAACAAGAGCGACGGGAGTTGTTGCCTAGCCGCGTGGACGGCTGCTGTACAGCAGTTGATATCGGTAACAATTAGGGCTTTTAGCACTGTCGTGCGTTTGCTTAACGTTTCCCCCCCTTGTTACAGTTACCAGAGATATGGCGGTAGCCTCGGTTCAGTCCTCGCAGTTAAGTCTCGAGTGTAATTATGTCCGCATCATGAATCGATTTCAGCTACTGTTCCTTAAAATTCGCGACCGCCGTTGCCCAGAACCACTGGTTTCCGTCTAATTATGCGGAAATACGAGCCGATAGCTATTAGAAACGAAAGTGAAGCTCCACGCTTTTAGGAGAATAAAGTGGTTTGCAATTATATTGCTCGACGAATGACAGAGAAATGCAGTTTTCGTGCAAGCTTCTAATCCTGACGATATGTGCGCGTCGCGCTTTGGCGCTCAATCAGACTCAACTTGGTGACGTAGCTGCGGTTTCGGACGACAACGACGCCTCCAGTTATATCATGGAAAACACTGCTTTGGCTACTACACAAAATTACAGGTGACTCCGAATGATTATTTTTCGTCTTGAACGCTGAGTGTTGCCGACTAATATTACCTTGTTAGATTTGCCAAATTCTATAACATGATTTTCGACAGACCTTCGAGGTGGCAACGTCACAATCGCGAGGGTTTCGTTGCGACAGAGCCACGCGTCTCTCATGAGGACTACCAAGACGAAGAGGACTCGCCCGATCATCGCGATGCCCCCGAAACCAAGGCAATGAGCCAACCGAAAGTCGTCGATTACTGGAATGGCTACTACGACTTCCTCATTAACGAGGGCAGTTACAAATTTTGGGCTGTTTTTCAGGTACTTCGCCTGAAACAAAATCACTTCGACTACCGTTCCATCTTGTTCGACATTAATTTTTCTTTGTTGGCTGACAGCTCGCTACGGCAGCGCTGCTGATCTACAGTGGATTCGCAGCCCTCTATTATGCTAAAATCAATCCACAGATAAGCGAGGACTATCCCGATGATTTCTTGAGGCGTCGACGGCGTTACGCCGATTGGGACGGACCACCCGCTGATCGTCCTTTCTTTGGCTTTCAACCAGAGATTTTTCAGAGAATAATCGACGCGATTGCTGAAGACGTACATTAATTTTACGATTTGTCTTCTATCAGAAGTATATGATGCGTTGGTTAATGTCAAATTTTTGAAAACATATGCATTGTTGTAAATAATATAACATGGAAGTCATCAAAAGTTTCGGCATGAGATATGCCACTGAAAAGAATGATCTTTTTAGAAAGTATAAATTATCTTGTAATAAAGGATAATCGTCTTGTTATAGGAGTACTTTTTTCAGTATCATTATTTGATATTCAAGGTATAATTTTAAGAGAAACATATAGTCAGATAGTACATTTTAATATGTTGATAGGAGCTATTTACATAATGGAACACTGCACAATTTGGTTTATAATCAATTACCTTCTAGATAAAAAATAATGCTCGTTTGTTCAATAAAAATATTCCATACAGTAGTGAGTAATAGACTCGTTAATACGAGTACATTCCATATATTTGTATTAGTCAGTTTTTAGTTGCCATATCGATATTAATAGTATACTTACATTTGATATTTCTTAACGTCGTCTAAATATTGTAATATTGATTATTACTATAGGCATGTATAAAATTGTGTGTATATAATAATTATAATTATTATACGTATACAAATGCAATCTGATATTTTTGAATAAATAAGTAAATATAAAAAAAACTTTTCTGAAAAATAATATATGTTTAGGAGTAATAAGTATTATAATTTACAGTATAATACATATTAAATACAGCATAAAAAGGTTATCAGTATTCACCTGTTGTTTACATTATTGAATTTCAATTACGAGTGTTACACAAATTGTATATAAGTGTAATGCATAAGAATTTTTGTTTCAATACATTTGCCTTCTTTCTTATACTTTTATTTTTCTTTTTCAATGAAGGTAAGTTTAATCAAGTACTGATAAAAAAACAGGATGTTATTTTTCATGTTCTCAATTCTTCTGTGATAGAATAATTTAATTTTACAGTGATCTCTTCGCCTAAATCTTTACTCAATTCTGCACTAATTTGCAAGGGTGACTTTGGATATAATACGTTTTTGTAGAAGTGTTTGACATAACCATTCACAGAGGTAATACAATTGATAAACAATTAATTCGAGGCACAAAGTATTCGATCCAGCTGAAATTATTGCTTGCCAAAACAAAACAAAAGTCGCATCATTGAAGATATAGCTGTCCTGAAAGTCCAACGATGTAATTGATCAACTGGATTGTTGAAATAAAATTGCGGAGCATTAGTACCACTCTCCTATACTTCTATCTTTGAATTCCTACCGATAGTAGTATCTAATTTCATATAATTGTTCATGAAATTCTGTATAACTATCATATTTTTTAGAAAACATCAACAACTCTTATGTAACTGGACATGCGTTTAATTTAAATGTTCCCCTATTTTATTACTACTTTTCAAGAATTAATTATTCCTATTTCTTTATGATCGATTATTTATGACGTGTAAAATGAATTACAGTTGTGCTGAAAAAGGCTTCTATCTATTTGGCATGAAAAACGACTTTTTTGTAAATTACAACTTCCGCAAGATTATTGTTTTACTGAACAGATAAACGGTTACTCAGAAATATATGCAATAGGTAAACATACAGAGAAGTTTTCCTAACCAAGATCATTTGTTACGAGTTAATATTATTGAAAGGTGACCAAAATGCCAAGCAAAACCTATATCTCGCTATTAGGTTTAATTATTTACATGTCTAACCAAGGTACGTTTATCAATAAACTTCGAACTTTTTTTCATATATGAACCTATATGCATCATGAAAATAAAGTAGTCGTTTTAATGAAAATATGTAAATGTGACGGTAATCAAAAGAATTTTATATTTTTGAATCTGTATGAAATTTTGGCACGTAATCATAATTACTATATTTCATGTAGTAATATAATATTAATTCACAGTTTATACAGCCATTTTAATATACGGTACTATTCTTGCGAGATGGTTTGAGTAATATTCATCTTTTAACTATTTTTGTGTAAAAACTTATTAAATATATATCATGTCTAAATATACATCATGTCTAAAAATAAGTCTCCAATTTCTTTCCCACAGCAAGACTACTTTAAACGTGGATAAGTATGATCATTTATAAAATCACAATTGCATTGCATCCAATCCAAATTATTATTTATTCTAGTATTTTTATTGAAATGCTACGAGTGTGATTCTTCTGATATCCGAGAAAAATGCTTTAATGACCCCAAACAGCCGGAATTCGAACGAACGTGTCACATGGAAAGCATCCAACTCTTCAACGCTATCTGGCCCGATTTAGCTTCCACCCTCGAGGATCTAATGTCAAACATCACTCAAACTAGAAGTAATCCAAATATTTCTATTCAATAAAAATACTAATCAATATCATTTATAGACACACTTTGTTTGCACCTCGTTTTCCAGATTATAAGAATAATAAATATACGTACAAGTGTGGAACGCTTCAAGTTTCGTTTTTAGGTGAGTAACATAATATTATGCAGCTCTTACAGCTTCGTTATTTATCAATATTTCTATTCAATATCTCTCAATTTGCAGATTTGCAAATCGTTATTAGAAACTGCCTAACATCAATAATTACATGCGACGATTTGGAACCAGTTTTTTGGCAGTTTGGTATGATATTAAAACAGTGTTCTAGATGTAGTAAAGATTTATGTAATTCAAAAAAGTTGTATTAACGTGTATACCTGTAGTATATTCTTTATAAAATCAATCGTTTCTGCGGTGTAATTATAGCAAGAGATGAATAAAGTGTGTGAACTACGTGAATAGAATGGATTTCAATCTAATTTTTTCCGTCGAGGGTTTTAATCGATTTTTGATTCTCGCCAGACCAAAATTTTATATCTGTAAGAAGCGTCAAGGCTAAGAAGTTTGAAGCGATAAAGTGCTAAGATAAGCAAGCAGCGCACGTGTCGGCAGAAATTCCTTTGCGAAACGAAAGGAGAGAAAAGTGTTGTATTATTACTCCTCACATTGTACTGCATAAGTTGTCAGCTCACGGATGAAGCGAAGTGGTGGGATGCGATGTATAAAACAGTGATCGATTGCAGTACATGATTAGCAAAGACAGTACAGTTTTGGCTACGATTGATGTAGCATCATTAAAAAAAAAACTTTCGATGCTTTATTTCTCTTTGCCAATTTTGTTTATATCGAAATTATTTTTATTTACTTTTAAAGTTTAATGGCTCAATAAGAAAAGAGTACATTGAGTGCACTGTGAATTTAGATTATCATTTCAAATTGGACCATAATAAAATATTGGAAATACAAAATACAGTAAGGACCAGCATACACACACACACACACACACACACACACACACACACACACACACACACACACACACACACACACACACACACACACTCATATCATATAAGATTTCATTTGGACAATTATACGCATATAAATATATATCAACTTTTATACCTACTTCGCACTTTAATAGTAAGTTCAAATATTATGTATACCCTCCATATTTTCAATCACAATAAATCGATCCGATCGAAATTCAACCAAATTCTATAATAGTAATTTCATTTTATAATAATTTTTATTCAGATTTTTATGAGTAAAAATAAATAATTGCTTTCTCTATAATGATGTGCATTTTAGTGATCGGCGTATTTGGGTAGAAATCGGCCTTAATCGGAAAAAAACATTGCGAATGATCGATTAAATATATATCTAATTGCTCCATCTCCGTCATATTTTTTTGTGCATTTGATTATCGTTATTTACAGCCTGTTCTCATTTAGCAACTAATGGTAGAATCCGGATGTTCGCCGTTCTAAGTTGCGATTTACCCAAAGAGCAAACCCCGTTTATAAATAAATATATACATTGGAATTCATTTCAGGACATTTTATTTATATAATAATATTCATTCCATCGCTCACGAATTCAATTTATTTAACTATTCACTGCTTTAGAATTAAATATGATAAATTTTACATCAATATCAGTACGTGAGTAGAACATATGTTTTCGGTTATCCATCCTCAAATATATACAACATATAGCACGTTATACTTAAATACACTTCGGAATAGGATTAGGCACATTGGAATTATTAGGTCTATACCTGGTCACGGAATAAACTGAATACACAGGACGTGGATTTTCCATATCAATCTGTGGTTCAATTTGCTTTAAATAGCACAATGTGTACAATTCGTCCGATGAATTGATTACCTAAAGCCACGTATCCTGTACGATATAATATATTAAGGCAACCTTAATTAAAAATTTTTGCCCTTATACTTGAGTTTGGTTTAACTAATTGTTAGCAGGTCGTGGATTTCTGACACCCACTGAATTCTAAAGATGTTAAATTATTGTCAACATTTTTATTTAGTATATACTAACAGCAATATTTTTCTTATTTTGGTGGAACTTGAACATTAATTCAGCGAGGGAAAGATTGGTGTTGCTAACTTACTCGGGTGTTGTATTATTGAGAATCTTTAAAACCTTTTGGCAAGTTTCATTTTTGACTCCATCTTTTATATCCCATTCAGAGTGTGGCCTCCTATATAAATTTATATTGACATTTTTTGTAAGATATTTCCCTTTCTCAACTGAAATTTGCAGCGATATTTGTTTTCTAAATATTGGCTGTTCTAGTGGCAGATTTGAAATTCATTGGCATGTGTAACTGGCTTCAGAAACTTGAACTATTAGATAAAAAATAGAAGTTGCTATAACTACAAGTTATAGTTATTATGGTCCCCGAAACGTTATTCAAATTATATTAAAGGGCAAAAGAAAGCTACATTTAATATTTTAATTACTAATTATTTATTTAATCTTTTATTGGTAATAATGACAGCAGCATATAATGGCAACTTCCCTTTTTGATAGTTTACCTCGAATGAGAATCGCCGCTAACAGAGCTGCATTTCTCTGAGGCATCAAGAAAGGATAATTTATTAATAATTGCTTCCAACAAATGGTACTGTCAATTGATATAAAAGGGCAAACGGCTATATAAGTCCTACGTCTTATAACAGTGAGACAAGTGGTAATCAAACACCTGAACCCGGGTTTTTCACATTGCAGTATAACGTGGTAACGTGTAAACAATATTTAACTTACAAAATAAATAATCTAGTACAACTTTACTTTTCGGAATTATGATAATACCATGTCAATAGCAAGACTACTGAGCGAAATAGCTAAGCTCCATATATCTACGAAACATAAAGACAAGAAGCAAAAAATTGGTCAAATCTTGACCACCCAACACGGGAAATGCAACATATATATTCAATGGTTATAAAAGATAGATATTACAAGTCCACTAGTGTGGAATCGATAAAGATCGTATGAACTATCCTGAAGAAATTATTGCTGCGAAAGATTACGTATAATTTTCGAATTTCAAGACGAGACGATTATACCAAGGACCTTAGGCAAGGGTGATTAATAGAATTGTTGCTTAATATATTTGAGGGCAATCCCATTACTGTAACAATATGTTACGGTAAAGTATCACTATCGTGTAAGAAGTCACAAATAAACAAGACACTACACGACGGCCTGATTTGAGGTAATAAAGGTGTTCATCAGACGTATGTTTTAATACAGACTC